AGGGTATGGGTACGGCCGGGTACGGGTACGGGTACCCGTTTGCGACCCTGGTGCGGCCGGGTACGGGTACGGGTAAGGAATCAAAACCCGTTTGCGACCTCTGGCGCCGGTGTCGACTGCAGTGCACTGCTGCTCCATCTGCGTCGCCATGGCTGCTACCTTGGATGCCGTGTCACTCCCCGGGTGCACGGGGGGCTCTCGGACGTCCATTTCACACCCCGATATCGTTGGTGGTACTGGACACTCGTGGTCGGTGCTTGTTCTGCAACTATCGTGCACATCCAACATCCAGTTACAGGCTGCAGAGCCAGAACCATCAATAGTTTTGGGCTTTTCAGAGTCGAAGCTTTTTTTTCCTGTGTTAGCTGTCCTGTCACATGCTTTGGTTGCTATAGCAACACCTGCACAAGCGTCCGGTCCTTTGAAATCTGTTAGCATAGGACATATCAGATAGATTGAACGAATGAAAAGAAAAGTACTCCATGTATATTGTATGCATTAGTAGATCTTCCCCTTTGTCGCCGGATTTGTGGAGGCAACTCCAAGGCCTGTCCCAGACATCAGCCCTCCCCCATCCTGCACATATCTCTCCCAGTGTCACCGTTTTGGCCTAATCGTAGCTAAAACAGAATTTTTTTTTTACATAGTATATAGTTATGGGATTGGGGTAAGAGTCATCATTTTCCCAAGTACACTCACCGACACAGCTTGCAGCTGAATTCAACTGAGCAGGGCACTCCAGTCGGCAACCGAGAAACATCACAAACGATATTAGCTTGTTCTTACACACTAACACAGCAACGAGACACACAGGCACCCATTAAGTAAACAGTAAAACCCTCTCAAAGCCAGATCCCAGATTTAGGGTGAGCTGGAAGGCTTCCTGAACGAAATGATGAAAATTTTTTTTTAAATTATAACATACCAAATTACTTATCCCAGAACACATCTTGTGTGCCAAGCTGCGTGTGGTAGGACACAGGATCCATATGCGCATTCGCAATTGGGGATGCCTTAATTCAGCAGCGGATTGACTATGGCTGATGACATGCACTGCCCTGGTCTGCTGTATGGAAATTCGCGATTCCGTTCCCCTTGGTACACCTCGTGCGCCGTCGGTGGCCACAAATTTTTTCACATTTTAAGTTAATTCAAAATATAAATGTCAAATAAATGCTCAGCCTTCATCCTCTTCTTAACGGTGATGGCGAGTGACTCGAATGTAACTCTACAGGAGCGATTTTTTTTGTTATTACTTAAAAAGCATGACATTTGACGTATTTAGTTGTTATCACGTGTCAATTAAATGTCTGAAATAAAAATAGTACTTCTCAATCATAAAAAAATATATTTCTAACATGTTTTTATGTTACTGCTAGGCCTCGGCAAGGTATGGTAAAAACAACGAGCCTACCTTTACCTTACCTTTAACCTTACCACAATACAATCACTCTACCCTTACCTTATACCCTTTAGCAGGAAAGGTAAAAAGCAACGAGCCTACCTTTACCCTACCTTGTACCCTTTCCCCATACAAATGACCCGATTACAGGGTAATTACTAGGGTACTACTACACATGAAAAAGGGTTTTAACGGTAAATGCTAGGTAGAGCGCTTTATCCATATAGAATACTCTCGATGATTCCAATTTTACACGCTTGTCGTTGTTGTTGTATCCTCAAATCTTGTAACTAAATTTTAACCCACTTCCCAATGTCGTATCGACTGCAAACTTGGTATACTTATGTCATACTGATGACAATACTATATGCTATCATAAAAAATATATTATTTTAAACATTATTTTTATATGTTATGTTTCGGCTTGGGTCTAATTGTCCACGCTCAATCGACGTTGGCTGTAATTGCCTAATTGGCCACGGTCCCTTACATTGTGGCAAGCTTCGGGGCCACTTCCTGGAGTCGTGGAGTTCTGCCATTACTAGTAACATTTAATAAAAGCGTGTTTAAAAAAAAGTTTTTTTTAATATTACTTATTAAATGGAAGCCACGGACTGCGCCACGGAACTTATAGCGGTAAACAAGGCACCGTATTTACCGGGTAATACTTCGCGCTACCTTTACCCTACCGGGTAATTCTTATGAGCTACCTTTACCCGACCCTTTACCTTACCCCTTGGCATGTCGACACATTTACCCTTCACCTTTACCCTTTTACCCGGTAAAAAGGGTAAATTACCTTACCTTGCCGAGGCCTAGTTACTGCTTTTGTCATTTTGGTGATCCCAGGTCACTCGTGCAAATGAAAATCTATCCTTGTCTCTCGAGTTCCTTGTCTCATCTGGTTCAATAAAACAAACTTGAAAGCAACGTCTGAAAGTTGGCTTTGAAAGCCACTGCCGTGCAGGTTCACTTTGCAGGTAAAGTGATGGAGAGCGGCGCTCAATGGCTATGCCGCTTAAACGTTACCCCATGTCAAAAAAAGCTGTAATGAGCCTACAGAAACAGATTTAATAAAGCACAATATCTATGTCATGAAATAAATCCGAGTTGTTTTAATTACCTTGATTTGGGGATTTTATACGCGCAGGATTCTTTCTAGGTGGACAAGAGATCTGCTAAATGACCACAACCTTGGAACCCTCTTTCTTACCGGCCACTGTGAACAACAATGTGGATTTATAGATTAATTTTAAACCATTGGTGGCTATTCACACAGCAGTTCTAAGACAATGAAAACAACATTTTACAACCATAAATAAATGTCAATCAAAATAATGAAATATGTTTAACAAGGTGAGGATGCGATGAAACACAACGGCTAAAGGACCAGGATGCTTCATCTGCCTCTTGTTATCTGTGGCACGTTCAAGACGGCACTGGTCCCTTGGCCGTGATGTTTATCACACGCTGCATGTGCTTCCTCCGATGTCCGGACCATGGCACCTCAATGTGAAATAAGCTATGACCTCACCAGCCCCCTTATCCAGAAATGGCATCCCTCCCTCCCTCCCCTTCACATCACGGCTAAGAGAAGTTGCACTGTATTTTCGGACACGTTCTACTGATTACTTTGTCCATTTCATTACGATGCATTACAGGCAAAAACGTAGCGGTGGCTCCCAAGGCTTTAGAAGAGGAAGGTTGTGGAGAAAAGCCATCGACCACCAGCAGCAGCCCGGCTATTACTCTACGATCTGACAATCTAAACACATTCTTTGGTAAAAATGTCCGAGTAGGATTGGTAGTGGTGCACCAACAATAAAAATAAACCTTTATTAAACATTAAACGTTACCCTTGAGTGCAGTTAAAATAACATTTTAAATAATGGCCCATTTCAAATGATGTAATGTTTTTGGAATTATTTGATCATTGTAAGAGCCATGAAGGGTGCAAAATGTCAGTGGAATTAAGTCAAGTTCAGGGTCCACTTGGCAGTAAAACTACAGTTCCGTACATCGCAATATGAACAATATCCCAAAACGTAATGTTCAGCAATTCCATATTTCCATTGAACGCTGAACGCAAATGTTTTTCCAGCCACAACTTAAAAAAAAACCCAAAACGAGCACGAACCTCGCGAGTAAACCTTCTTGCACGGGGTCATCACTGGCACTCCGTGGAGGTCACCGTCCCCGACCTCCACGCGACCTCTACCCCCGGCCTCCTCCTCCTCGACCCTTGAGTCCGCGACGGTCCACGCCGCGTCGGTGCCACCCCAGCCCCGTGGCCCGATCGTGAGACGCATCTCTTCACGAGACCGCTGGCCCTGCGCAGCGACCCTCTTCCTCCGGGGGCCTCTTCCACGCCTCGTCGCCGCCCTGCGACGACGACGAGGAGGGCCCCGTCTCTCCGGGGGTCGATGACGACGTGCCGCCAGCAGCCCTCTGCATCGTCTGCGAGACAGACGGCGAGAGGGGCATGGGTGGTGGTGGTCACATAGTCACTTTAAGATGTTTTCTTGTTCATGTTTTTGTTTGTTGCGGTTGCACCCGATTCAAGAGCCGAATGGCTCAAAGGGCTCTACCTAATAAATGAACTTGAAAATGAACTTGAACTTGGTGGTGACAGTGATGGTTGCCTTCTCACCACGTGTGCCCGCCTTGTGGTGCAGCACGCGGGCACGACCCAAAGGGGCCTTAGGGCCAAAGCAGAGCCAGGGGGGTGGGGGGCACCCTGGTTCGTGGACATAAATTGCAGGGGGCGAATCAACATCTCAGCTCCAATCAGTACTGATAACACGCAATTGGAGGGTGATTAATTAAACGCGAGATTCAGTGGATTCCTCGTGCCGATCTCGTCCGAGCAGATTTGAAGTCTCGCGTCGAACTCAAATCTTCCGTCATCTCGTCTCCGGCTCACCTCGACTCCCGGACACGCGACTCTTGTTCTCGCTGTCGCTCAACCGCGTTCGTCGTCTTCACCCTCGCCACGTCTCTCTCGTTCACATCTCGCAGATGGAGGAAATGTTGAATCCACCCCAAGGCCTGCCCGTGGTGACCCCCACCCCCCCCCCCAAGGCCTGCCCGGGACGAACCCCCCCCCCCCAAGGCCTGCCCGTGGTGACCCCCCCCCCCCTTCCAAGGCCTGCCCGAGGTGACCCCCCCCCCTTCCAAGGCCTGCCCGGGGTGACCCCCACCCCCCACAAGGCCTGCCCGGGGTGAGCCCCACCCCCCACAAGGCCTGCCCCTGGCGACCCCCCCCCCCCCCCCAAGGCCTGCCCGAGGTGACCCCCCCCCCCTTCCAAGGCCTGCCCGGGGTGAGCCCCACCCCCCACAAGGCCCGCCCCTGGCGACCCCCCCCCCCCCCCCCAAGGCTTGCCCGAGGTGACCCCCACCCCCCCCCCCCCACAAAGCCTGCCCGGGGGGACCCCCACCACCCCCCCCGAAGCCTGCCCCTGGCGACCCCCCCCCCCCCCCCAAGGCCTGCCCGGGGTGACCCCCCCCCCAAGGCCTGCCCACGCGGCCCTCCGCTGGAGTCGGCACATTGACGGAACATTTCTTATCGTTGTGTAAACAACCACACACCACAACACGGCACAGTTGCGTCTTTAATGTTCGCTTGTTGTCGTAAATAAATCGCCGCAACGAAACTCACCGACGATTCGTGATATTTCTGGGTTTTCATTGACGACTAATTTTCTCGTCCACACGTGGAGCGGGTTCCCCTCCACGTTGGACTCACAGACAACCACGTGCGCCCCAAGTGTTGCCATGGGGATCGCACAATTTATTATTATTATCCTAAAAGCCATCATTGTTATTACTATTTTCAATAAATGGTAATAATAAAAGTGCCTTCAAAAAAATGTTGACACTTATATGGGACTATCGTTTTTAAGAACGGATAATACGCTGTAGCATGATAACAAATGTATGTTGATAGCTTCTAAGAGTCTCCAACTCGCTCGCCATCACCGTCAACGCGTGCCTCGAATTTTCTCCAGGTGGTCTCCAGAGCATGGAGGCCCATTGTGGTGTTGTTGCAAATTCTCAGAAATGTTAACATTTTTTGAAGCACTCTGTATGTAGTAGACGACGTTTCGGGCAATGACCCTTTCCACAGCAAATAGGCCGAGAGAGGTAAGAGTGGATACGATTTGTTTTGTGCGATGTGATCATTATCAAGGCCCCAAGAGCTGCAGTTGAAACAATGTTTATTGACACCCACCTAACCACACCCCCCACCTTCGTTCGCCCAGCAGTTGGGGTTGGTGGATTACGGCGAGATTTTGGGTTGGCGGGTCACGGAAAGATTTGGGGATTGCTGAATCGTGGTGAAATTTGGAGCAGATGCATCACGGAGCGATGTGGGGTTGCTGGATCACGGAGGGATGGGGTTTGGTGGACCGCAGATTTTGGGTTGGTGGACCGTGAATGGACAATTCACCAACTTGTTACAATTATGAGCAAAGTGCAGTGTACATAACCTTAACGACTACTGCAATTACAAATTACATTCACAACAATATTTTTTCCCCCCCGAGACATTTTTTTAAAGCGAGCTAATAATAGGCAAACAGACAATGCATTTCTCCATCACATTTGTACTAAGCAGTATTAAAGTTCCACAAAGCAGATGTATGCACACGGACTACACCACATTTGATTGCAACCTTGCGGGTGAAATGTTTTCATATTTTAAGCAACTACTGTACATCAATAACATTTGTAGCCCAAGTACTGAAACATTACAATTTTTAAATAACAAACAATATTCTCCATATAAAACTGAAATGTACCATACCCGGCATAAAGTATCGTTTTAAACTAATAATTTAAGGCTCTCGTTTGTTTCAGCCAAGCAACGCAAGCGGCGTCCGGATAAAACACATAAGCAATAGCAACCCTATGGCATTCAAGCAGTCGCATTTGTCAGACCTTGACCCACACAAAAATACCGTCCACGTTCACTCAAGCAGAACAATAGAGTCGCCTTCTTGGTTCTTTCGGTAAAGTCACGTTGAAGGGAAATAATGAAATAATAAGACAGCTGTCTTTCTGACAGACCTGTTCTTGACCTGAGGACGGCTGCTTGCGTTATGGCCGAAACATCGTGAAAATTATTTTATTGGTTTATTTTTATTATTTTATTATTTCCCTTCTACGTGACTTTACCGAAAGAACCAAGAAGATGAATCCCTGCAGCCACGAAAGCTTTAAATCGAAATTTAATAGAGTCGCCTTGCAGGGGTTGCTCCTTGGTGCCTCCGCGGCTCGAGGAATTGCCGCTGCCTCCCCAACACTTCTGCTCTGGGCACCACAGACCCGGTGAGCCACCCAGCATCTCAAGGGTGCCCCCCCCCCCCGTTGGCTCCTCCACAAATCAGCCTCACGGCACGAGGGAGGAAACATCAAAAGCGATTTCACGATTTGCCTTTGATAGAACCACTTCTCCTTTACGCCGGATCATCTCACAGCGATTCACACACGCGCACGAGACTTGCATCGCGTCCCATCTCAAACGTTTGAAAGGGGGCGACCCCAGCGGCAAATTGGGACGGCGGGGGGGGGGCGTTTCAGTCCTTGGGTGAGGTCCCAATGCCAACCACACTCCACCACTCGTTCCAGATTGAAACCTTGCACAGCTAAACAAACGTGTTATTTTTCTCTTGTCGTAAGTTCACTACCATGAGACTGAAAAGCTTCATATGATATGCCAGAAGACATTGCCGTGTCCTGATGTGTTAAATATAACTCGAAACAATTCGATATTTTATTTGAAACATCACCACGTGAGAGAAATGTACAGGATTTATATATTCTAGGAGGCTCCAAGCACCATCATTAATTGGTGGCTCAATGAGGATGGGAGCTCCTGGGTTAGAACCAGGTACAAACCAACGTGGCCAAATCATAGCCTGGTGGGCACAAACAAGCCCCGTATATAAACTACGACGCCGCATTTAATTTTCTCATTTTCCACGCCCAACTGCACAGGGATAAATCACACGCTTGTACAAAATCGCTGGAATAAACGAGACAATGTTGTTCGTTGGAGCTAAAAAAAAAACACGGCCTTGTAAGACAGATCCTTGAAGGATTATTACAGACCGACAATACCTTTTAATGTGGAGAGACAGAAGCAAGGGGGCGTATTTCCTGGTTATTGTGACTACTCTCTCAAACGACGCCCATTATTTTGCACAATGTACAATGTCTCCAAGTTTGTTGCAAACTTAAACGCGTGTTCCTGTTGCAGGTGAGAAGGCACAAAGGCACCGTTCCTCCGCTGGGGACATCGGTGAAACTACTGAACATCTGTTTCCTGTCAGGGCACAATTCATTCATAGCCAATTGAAATAGGTGTGCGACTAAAATGTTAATTTGTTTTTAAAATAAAAACAGAGGCATCCATGGAGTCAATAAAATTTACGTGACATTAATATTTTTCACACATTAAAATAAAATTGGCAGTTTTTTCATCGTGTTCAATTTAAATAGATGGTTGAACTAAACCATAATTAGCTAAAGTAACTGTGCTCAAGTTCAGCCAACAATTTACACAAACAACATTGCTAAAGTTAATTCTCCCAGCCCTGCTGTTCACTGCTTCCCAATGATCTCCCTCCACTCATATCCCTTTCTTCACACGCGGATACATGTGTGTTGTTGCTGCAGTAATTGATTGGGAAAGCAGGTGTTTAACATTACATTTCGTCCGCGAGTATGCATATCAGACAGAACAGATATGTAGAAGAAGTGAATTACGACATTTGTTGGAAGTGTGCCGAGTATGTCATCTGTGTAAATATACGAGGGGGCTGTTCAGAGTTCTTTTCCCGAACGGTAAAAACGGTAAAAACTGTAAAAACGCAGTCATCGGTTTACCGCGTGTCGAAGGCACGCTTGAGTGAGCAATTGCAAAGCTACATGTTTATCGTTTAACTAAGAAACGAGAGCGAACGTAACTTGGGCCGCCGCGCGGTTTGTACGGCGGCATGAGCCAATTGGTGCACTCGTGCCTAACAGTTCCACTGGAAACGATCACCAGTTTCCTGACTTATGGCACCGGCAAATTATTTTAGAAATGGTTACCAGCTTACCGGTTGTCATTAAACAGCACTAATCACACACGCGCACGCGCTGTGTTACACGAACACCTCCTCCAAACGTGGCGAACCTCCGCTCTCGGGAAGCCACGGCCACTCGCGCGCCGTCTGAGCAGAAACCTTGCCGAGCCACCCTTGCCGCGGTTAATCTTGGCTCTGTTTGGAGAGGCACATCAGGGGGATCTTGCGTCGCTGCTGCCTGGGCGCAGCTGCGGTGTTCTCCTGCTTCTGGAAGCGGCGGACCGTGTCGCGGTGCGTCTCCTCGAGCCGCTCGAGCTCCGTCCGGTGTTGGGCCTTCACCTCTCCCAGCTCCCGCTGCGCACGGCACACGGCACACGGCACATGGCACACGGCACACACCGTGAACACCACAGCGCTCACCGCGCTCACCACCGCAGCGCAGAGGCGGTGCTGGATGCAAAGGAGAAATCATTTTTTTTACAGATTACGTTATTTATCGATTCTTGTTTATCCAGGAAGGCTTCACTGAGCCTCGAGGCTGTCTCATTCAGGAGGGTCCTGCCAAGTTTCACAGTGGAGGGGGGGGACGATGCTGCTTCTGCCCCTGCTGCTACGTACAATCCCTACGGAGTAATTTGCAAGTAATTTTCGCAGCATTGGGATGCTTAGACAATACAAGTTACATTGTGCGTGTGTGTGTGCGTGTGTGTGGGGAGGAAAGCCAAGAACCCAGGAGGAAACCCATGCAGAGCATGGGGAGAACAGAGAGGTGCCCGAGCTGTGGGAGCGCGGGCAAGCGGGAGCGCGAGACGTGGATGCCGTTTACCTCCTTCTCTTCCTTGAGCTTCTCCATCTCGCCGCACACCTGCTGCGCCTCCATCTGGTTGGAACGGAGGCAGCAGCAACGATCATGTTAAACCGCACAGCGCGTGCGTCAACATCGTCGGAGCCTAGTCACGAAAGCTTCAAATCTAGAATCGTCGGAGCCAGCGTTCGCGCCGCACTGCACATCGCTCGTACTTGCCACCACGCACGTGTTTACTCTGAACGTGTTTACTCTGAACGACCACACCGCGTAGTTGTACAACTCAGGCCGCGACAGGCTTGCCGAAGCCAACGCAACAGCGTGCGCATGTATGGAACGACGCAGACATCAATCGATTAAAACTGAAACTTCCGCTGGAGGTAAGTTATAAATTCGATTGATCGTGTGTGGGAAAAAGGGGTTTACTGTATTTCCCAAACGGCTGTGGGCCTTATTGTGGAAAGGAAGTCCCTGCCAAAACCCAGCAATAAAAAAATCGTCAAAATGCAGAAACGTCCACCAATCGAGCAGTTTTCTCACCGACATTTTCCATGACATAGTGGTTTTCCCGAACAAATTACTCCGGATCTTCGTTAAGAAACAACACAAACATGGTTGCCCATCGGTGCATCTGAAAACTAACTCGGCACAGCAGTGGCGAACGGAGCGCTGATCGGGACACACTTGCTCCACCCTAGCAATGCACTTGTTCCACCCTAGCAATGCATGTCTGGACCCAAACATTTGTCAAACGTGCCAACAACCCCCATCCCATGACAGCTACGCTGGGAATTGCAGCTTGCCCTGTTGACTGCAAAAGTAAAGCCGTTTTAAAGCTTTGCGCTTTGCACTTTGCACCGTGATCATTCCCATTCACACCCTCTGCACAAACAGCACGTGGTGGACTCGAGGAACAGACACTCCACTGCCAGGCATCGACCTCGGCAGTGCACGCAAGTTCACAAGGCGCCCGACAGCCGGGGTTGTTGCCCCTTCGCAAAGGTAAGAGGGGAAAAAAACAGCCCTTTGCCAATCCACTGCTGGATGCTGAGTCTGGATGCAGCAGGCAGGAAACCCGACACCGTCGTGAAAGTAACTCACGCCGTGTAAGGGGGCTTTGTCTCTGTTGGGAATCATCGCGGTGCAACAGCCGTTGATAATTATAATTACCCCGCCAACACAAATGTCCCTTATACAATTCTGCCCAGCGGAGACTCGGAGAGCGGGAGGTGGCTAATCGAGGGCCTAGGCCCCGCCACCACGTGCCCACACCTAATCAACGAGTCGACGCGAACCCCACGGGCAGACACGCGTGTTCGATGCATGACCGTTAACAGGTCGGCCAGCTCTAACAGCACACACAGAGATGTGCTTCTCACAAACAGCAGGAAGCACGACTCCCATCCATATACCTTGCTTCCACATCACTTGACCACCGAATGTACATTTACAATGCTCTCATCCTTGTCTAGACCACCAGCTCGGAAGAGCTGAGCGTTTGGCCGTATTGCATGTTGGAACTCACCTTGTATTTAGTAACGGCCTCCAGGTGTTTCTCTTCATTTTCTTTTATTTGTTGCTGTCAACGACACAAACAACGTAGGTTGCCATCGAGGCACAGATGGAAAAGCATCAGTACACAGGCACACACAGGTCCATGCACAACACTGGAAGGTAACGAGTCAAGGTAATGAGTTACAGCATCCAGAATACCCAGGGAGGGCACCGCTAATTCCATAGTTTTTCTCCTTTGTTCATATATAATTAATCAGATTACTTTGTATATTTCCACTGAAGACATCTCATGATTTCAGTACTAATTTTCTTTACGTTTCAAATTCCCAAGCATAACAAAAGGGGAATCGATTGTGGGAGGGGCTCTGTTACCTTGAGCGGCAGCAGAAGCGGCAGCACTGCGTGCGAGTGCCACCAACCATGCAACCAAGCGCTGGCCGAGGTCAAGAGGTCATCACCACCACGAATGCTACCACCTCTTGCCATTACTTATCCTCTGCCAGATCCAGCAGCCGCTACTGACGAGAAGAACTCCGGGTCTACGCTCAAGATCCTCATCATGGCGCTCTCGTGATGTCATCGCGACGTCACTTGCACCCGTTAACACACCCACGCGGTGGTGATGTTATTACCACATGATGACCGGCGGATCGTAAAGCTCTTTTAATCATCTTCCTTCCCTTAAGTCAGGGGTGGGGAACGTCCGGCCCGCGGGCCGTATGAGGCCCGCGAAATTATTTGGTCTGGCCCTGCCAAGGCAACCGCAGGTGGTGTTGTATCCTAACCCTTCTTCCATAATTGAGATTAATAATATTTGATGATTTTTATATATTATCTTTTTACTTGTTTTTTTAATGAGTGAAACACACCAAGCGCAGCAAACTGCAAAACACCAGGTGTTGTTAAGTAATGAACCGGAGGAGGGCTAGGATGGCAGAATTTGCAACCTTGCTTCAAGGGAAGATAAGGCCTGATGAACGGGCACATGTCACCCGTGCAAGGGCAGAGACAGTGGGAGTGTCAGCCAGACATAGTTAAGGCAAAAAGCCCAACTATCCTGCATGGTTTTAAAGTAACGTCAAAATTCGGAATTTAACAACAGGGTAGGCTAAAGTTATTGATATTCACACCCACTCCAATTAAACCAGGCCACAAGTTACGCCTACTGAACCATCACCATTATTAAGTCAATATGAAATGTTATTTCCATACTTTAATACTTTCTATACAACTCGACCCGAAGCATATGACAATCAGAACCTTCCTAAGTCAAAATTGAATCGCACCCAGACAGGAGCGAATAGTCGATATAAGGTTGACGAGGGAAGGAAATTAAGAGCACGGCGAACTGCAAACGTAAGCAAAAAGCCGGGAACAACACCAGCCCAGCAACAGCGAGTGGGGCTTCGACAGGCCATAAAGTAGAATAATAACTCCCGGGGTCAGGGGACACAAGAAGAAGCAGGCAGACAAAAACCAGAACTGACTCCAAGGTTCAACCGCCCTCACCTACTCAGGAGTGACGGAAATTAATGAGGCCTTGAATTAACGGCAGCTGGACGGCAACAACAACGGCGAGCAGAGATAGGGTGGGGCAAAGACTGCGGGCTATGAAATGCAACTTCGTGTCAGTAAAGCTCTGACAAACAAGTTAAGTTAAAGACATCACAATACATAATATCGCACATAACATCAATGTTAACGCTATTCACCGTAAACTATATTCCGCTTATATAACCATGCAGGCACCAAGGAATACGAATTCCTAGGATCAAGAAACTTACCCCTTAACCTAAGATATCGGAAATAAATTAATAGTAATAAGTATATGCATGAAAAGACAAAGTAAAACTTATGGAAAAGCCAGGATAACGGGATGAATCACCACCAGGTCGAATATAATACATAATAAAAAAAAACGATGTTAAACCCAGGGTCGGAGAGAAAGGGAGATCCCGGCCATCTTTGTATCCCCGCAGCGCGGGATAGGAGTGTGTATACGCTCGGGGAAACACCTACACTTGAGTCAAGCACCACGATGGGAAACGACAGACCTTAGGTTACATACAGAATCATAACTGTGAAATAGTAAGGGACAAATGTTAACTTAAAACTTTTTAACCATTTCTTTGTGCGCCGGGTCGGAGAGAGTGTTGCCCCTCCCTCCAGGTTGTGCAACACGAACAAAGACGCCTATGAGACATTTGTAACGTCTGTGTTTTGGGTTCATGAAGAAGGCCAGACAAGAGATAATATTGCACCCAGACAGAGAGACGACCTCGAGGCAATTTGTAACATCTGATTGTTTGCTCGTGGGTTTATGGAGGGAGTGTGACAACGAATATACCGTCAGTGATGCACACAAGGACACACGGACATACGGACAGACACATGGACACACCTGCCTACGGACAGATCCTGACACAGCAAAAATCGGAAGAAGCCCCGCCTTGTGGGCGGGATCCAGGGGGAATTTTCGGCATAAAGTAAAGGATCCTGAGCATTGGAAATCAGTGCGACGGGAGGGTCGACTCAGGAACGAGTGCGACCAGAGTGGGTCCACTCAGGAGTGCGACCAGCGGGTCCACTCAGGAGTGCGACCAGAGGGTCGACTCAGGAGCGAGGGCGACCAGCGGGTCGACCCAGGAGCGAGCTCGACCGGGAGGGTCGACTCAGGAGCGAGCTGCGACCAGCGGGTCGGCTCGACTCATCTTCAGCTCGTCAACCTCTGCCGAATCGGGGGTCTCTGCTGCCACCGGAGTGGTGAGCATCGCGCTTCGGCGACAACCCAGAGCTGCACGCTACGAGCGAGTTGTGGGCGCCACCTACCGACCGGGTTCCGAACTGCGACAGCGTATCAACAGCCATCCGAACCAGTTCGCCACGGTGACAGGGGATCGACTGATACGTATGACGCGCACCGCCCCCTCACCACACGACCACCAGGCGTCTGTTTGACCTAAAGAATCGACTCCGAACACTGACTATTCAAGACAACTCTTACCACTCAAAAACACTCGAACCCATAAGCCATCCGTGGCTGGAAAGCATCACAACGAGACCGAGTGATGGCCCTCCGTCGTTTATAAGAGTATTCTTAATTTTTATCTTTAATATTTAGTGGGCTGTACTCTTAATCGCATAAATTCCCAACAGATCCATCAATACGAACTGATTCTTGGCACCTCCTTCCGCCGAGCCACGCTCACGTGGGGAGTGGTGGCCCACCGGATCCTTATCAGGTGATCTGGTCCCCAATTAGTAAACTTGGTATAAGATAACGAGCTTCGGAAAAGGAGCACCGTCGCAGGCCCTTACTCCGAGCCGTTCTGTTGTCAGATAACCTGCCGATGTATCTGTTGAGATTGGTGCCTTTAAGAATAATAACTGTTTTTGATTGTGTTTTTTTATCGCCGTATAATCTTTCAAGTATCTTTCAGTCATAATCGCCGCACGTACTCGCATCCTCTACAGAATATTCAACTGTCCCGTGACCCAAGGTGTTAACAACGTGATAAGGGTTGCGTATGGTCAATAAGGAGTGTGGTACTGCGTGAACAATATTGAGTATAATCATTCATTAGCGTTAAGGTTTTCTTAGCATAGTATTTGCATATTTCAACGACTCTCTCTCTCACTAACAACCATCGCGTTATGAACAATATTGAGTATAATCATTCATTAACATTAAGGTTTTCTTAGCATAGTATTTGCATATTTCAACGACTCTCTCTCTCACTAACAACCATCGCGTTATGAACAATATTGAGTATAATCATTCATTAACATTAAGGTTTTCTTAGCATAGTATTTGCGTGTTTTAACGACTCTCTCTCACTAACAACCATCGCGTTATGCGGGATCCATGTGCAGTTGTCAAAGTGAAATCAGACAATCGTTGATGATACTGTATTGATGCCGTGTTGACGTTCCGGGATTGAGAGTTCGCATATTATATCATAGTTAAGGTTGAATTAGTAATAAATTGATTAATACAGAAGTGGTTGTGTGATTCTTTCCTGAAATCTATGCATAAGATCTGCTTCTGCGTTGAGATTTGAACTTGGTGACCTTAATAAACACACTAATACATACTCAGTAAATGTTAAAGCGATAACGGGGTGAACCGGGGACCTAAAAATATAACCACGAATAAAACTCTGGGAATGTTAAAGCGAGAATGAGACGAACCTAGACAACGATGCCGAGTTAATCTAAGTTAATCTTGCATACTTACACCACACCTGCATAACTGCATACGATTAATTGCCTTCTTCCGATCGATAACCCACCCTCGTCACCGAGGCGGGGTCTGGTTATCATAACGACTTGTATTATCATAATTACACCCACTCGCATAATTAATCCGATTACCTCTCGAATTGGCATAATTAAAATGTGCGTAATTACATAAATTAACATATTTCCGGATAATTACACATTTGGCCAGATTTCATTTAATAATTATTATTTTCACTGAATATTCATAATACACAGGTACAACATAATAATTTCACCCACGCACGCATACAACATAACAAATTTTCTTAACCCAACATATACAACAGTGGGACTCGAAATTCAATAAATCTAGGAGCAAACCTGGAAAAGCAGTTGCAAGTAGCAACATCATCAATACCTGCTAACATCACATGCCTTGCCAAAGAAGCAGTTCCAGCCATCGCATTAGGGGTGAGTTAATTAAATGTTTGACCAAATATAACAGGCTAATTTTTAAGTTTATAATTATGTATGGCCCGCAAATTATGTTATAAATATCCAAATGGCCCTTGGCCGAAAAAAGGTTCCCCACCCCTGCCTTCAGTGAACGAATCTCCCAAGAGCAAAGCGTGCAGCTGGCCTGGACGTGGAGCCACGCGGGGTGATGCGAGCCCGCAAGACACGGCCGCACCTTGTACTTCTGTTTGGTTTCCTCCCGCGTCTGCTCGCGAATCTTCTCCTTCTCCTCGGCGACCCGGCGCTCGGCGCGCTCCTTCTCCATCTGCGTCATCTCGGCGTCGGAGCGCGACACCGCCGCCTCCAGCGGGGCGCAGCGCGACTCCCGGAACTCCGCCAGGGCCTCGGCTGCGCACGGCCCCAGGTCTGTCCGCACAAGCAGCACGAGGTTGGCCAATGAGATCAGCTCAATGGCCAACCTCGTGCTTCTTGTGCGGATAACAAGCACGTGGTTGGCCAATGAGAGTGGCTCATTGGCCAACCACGTGCTTCTTGTGCGGATAACAAGCACGAGGTTGGCCAATGAGAGCGGCTCATTGGCCAACCTCGTGCTTCTTGTGCGGATAACAAGCACGAGGTTGGCCAATGAGAGCGGCTCATTGGCCAACCTCGTGCTTCTTGTGCGGATAACAAGCACGTGGTTGGCCAATGAGAGCGGCTCATTGGCCAACCTCGTGCTTCTTGTGCGGATAACAAGCACGTGGTTGGCCAATGAGAGTGGCTCATTGGCCAACCTCGTGCTTCTTGTGCGGATAACAAGCACGAGATTGGCCAATGAGAGCGGCTCATTGGCCAAGCACGTGCTTCTTGTGCAGATAACAAGCACGTGGTTGGCCAATGAGAGCGGCTCATTGGCCAACCTCGTGCTTCTTGTGCGGATAACAAGCACGTGGTTGGCCAATGAGAGCGGCTCATTGGCCAACCACGTGCTTCTTGTGCGGATAACAAGCACGAGGTTGGCCAATGAGAGCAGCTCACTGGCCAAGCACGTGCTTCTTGTGCGGATAACAAGCACGTGGTTAGCCAATGAGAGCGGCTCATTGGCCAACCTCGTGCTTCTTGTGCGGATAACCAGCACGAGGTTGGCCAATAAGAGCGGCTCAACAATTTGGAGATTTACCGAGTACATTTGGTATTCGTGCCATTCCATAGGGCGGCAGGGCGGTGGCGCAGTGGTAATGCTCGTACCTCATAGCTTTGGGATACGCTTCTGCGGCCTTCTGGAACGCTCTTCTGATATTAGGAAGCCACTGGAGCTATGCACTTTTAAATCAAGATTGAAAATGTATTTCTTTTAGAGACTGCTTGTTGTGTTTAGTTTGCTGTCCTTCCCCCGCACCTCCAATTATGACGGTTGGCTACGTACGGTACGAAAGAAGTTCAACATACATACATGGAAGTGTCTGGGTTTGATTCCTGACTTGGGCGCCTTTCTTAGTGGAGTGTGCATGTTCTCCCCCCTGTTCTGCGTGGGTTTCCTCCGCGTTCTCTGGTTTCCTCCCATCGCAAGAAAATAATCCACACATGCAATTGGTATTGTCCAAACATCCCAATGCTGAAAAATTATCTGCAAATTACTCAATTGTGACTACACAGTGAAAACCTGGAAAGACCCTCCTGAACGAGAATCTTGAGACTCAGAGTGAGGCGTTCCAGGGTGAACTCGCGTAACAATGATTATTTTAGAGCAACGCTATCATGAAGGCGCTGCGTTTCACACGGTCCGCAGCAGTTCCGCTGTGGGGGCAATGGTGCTGTGTGCTTTCCCAATCATAATTTAATAACTTGCAGGTCATTTTTCAAATTTGGCAAATTTTGGACCACGATGTCAGCACACTACAGTCTAACTCTTTTAGAATTACATCACGGGAGCTTTAACGTCTACTTTGAAGCAGGCGGTGCGCGTAGCATGTTACGGTCAATACACCCGCGGTATTAACCAGGGTGGCCTGCCAGGCTCGAACCGCTGGACCAGCTCAGCGTCCTGCAGCTCGAGCCACAAGGAACATTCTTGACGCTGGAATCCGACAGCACTCGCCAAGAGCCCGCACCGCCAATGAACACGGATAGCTACGTACGGTGCGAAAGAAGTTCAACATACGTGCATACAAGGGCCAGAATAGAGAAGAAGCAATGGAATGTTGGTCTTGGCACGAGGACAGACCGGGCCGCTTGAACCGCTCCCCAAATAGGCGGCTCAAGGGCATCGCTGCTAAAGTGCCGCCAGGATGCCTCTGCGGCCGTCGCGTCGTTCAGAAGATTGGCTCCGCTTCTGGCTGGGCCCTCATCACTATTGCCAAGAAGAGACCATTTGACTGCACACGTTATGTAATCTACCCTGCATGTATTTTTGTTTTGCAATGCATGAAGGCGAGTTAACGAAGTAGTTCTCGTCATCGTCATGACTATGAGAGCTGTACTAGAAATCAAGCCCCTGCATTCTTACGCCCTCCTCCTCTGCCTCCCCCCCCCCCCACTCCTTGTTTTCCACCTCCACGTGTCGTCAACTCGGTTTGTTCTGCGGCCGTGCACACAGGTTCCTCGGGCTCTCTCGTCGGGGCACAAATTCGAGGCTCGCGCCGGCACGGACCTGTCCTCTCGCTGAACTCGTGCACGAGCCGCAGCGTCGCCAGCGCCAGCTGCAGGTGCCCGCCGGGCACCATGAAGGCCCCCTCGTCCCCCAGGGCGGTGCGCGCCATCTCCTTCAGGGCCGCAGCGCTGCGCTCCCGCGACAGCTTCTCGTTGTGCTTCCAGTCCTCCTCCTGCTCTGCGGTCAGCTCGCTCTGTGGGGGGGCAGGGGGGGGGGCAGGGGGAGGGGGTGGAGGTGAGTGTGCAAGAAGTAGCACGTTGATCGTGGAATATTCTCGTTTCCCCAGTGGTGATGTAATTCCTCCGTGCCCCCATAGCGTGGCCGTGTGCCTGCGGGTGACTGCGGGTGACTGCGTGCCCGCGCTGTGTTTGAAGTGTCAAGTGTTGAATTTGCTGGAGTCGCTATCATCATCTGATTTACAGGGCGCTGCGGCTCCATGCCAATGATTCACTCCCCTTGCTCCCGATCCCCATCGCCAAATCAACTGCAAGATCCTCCGCCCCAGTGACAAGGCCGTCCGTGGACTCGTTCGGCCCACCCTTCCTCTCATCTTGCTCCACCCCACTCCACACGCTCTCTGCTCCAGCACACAAGGCCTTCCCACAAAACCCTTCAGCAACCCCTGCCGAGTAGAAGGTCGCTACCTATTTGGTGTGAAATTCCCTCCCCTATCCGCCCGTGCTGCGGGCTCCCTGCCCGAGGCTAGCGCGCAACGTTCCTCCCCTCCTTTGGCAACAGCCAGCTGGGTCCCCTCTCCTCTGGCACTCATCCCTACAACCGCGTCCATTGCTTCGCATGCGCCACGGTGACTGGAGCCACAGCATCACCTGGCTCCGTTCTCATCGTATGCAGCCACTCGGTGCTATGGCAGCTGCCCCGCTCATTTGTAAAATGTTTCCACGGCTCATGAAATTGTCGCCATTATTGCACCGTCATTCGTTGATACAATCCGAGTCTTTAACACCCCCGGAGAACATCGTAATAAATTTTGACTTAAAGCTTTCGTGACTGCAGGGATTCATATTCTTGGTTCTTTCTGTAAAGTCACGTAGAAGGGAGATAATAAAATAATATAAATATAAAACAATAAAAATTCGTATTAGCTCGCCATCCTTCTGCTGTGCCGTTGTGCAAGGGTACAATGCGTCTGCCACCGTTTACGGTGAATAAAAGCCAACATCTTTACGCAACACTTTAAAAGGAATTAATTCCCCACTCACTAATTGGTAAATTAAACAAATTCAGACTGTAGCCAAGGTAACGGAGATAATGAACGAGAGCGGCGGGCGGGCGGGCGGGCGGGCGGGCAAGCAGACCAGGAAGCCGGGGAGGAAGCCGGGCGTCTCGTTGTGCAGGCCCAGCTCGGCGAGCCGCATCACGAACGCCGACACGCCGGCTCCGTGGGCCGCAGCCAGGGCCCGCGTGAGCACCGCGGCGCCGTGCGGAGGGTCCGCGCCCCCCAGCCGGACCTCCAGCTCGGCGCGGCGGGCCTGGAGGGCCTCGGCGGAGGCGCGGCGCGCGTCCCACTCGAGCAGCGCCAGGTAGGCGTCCTGCACGCATGGCTGGTCGCCCGCATTGAGCGCCGCCACGTAGTGCTGGGCCACCGTCACGAACTCTGTGCGGGGCAGAGGGGAAGGGAGAAGGTCGCGCGTTGCCATGGACGAGAGCTCTCGAGGCTCGGAGAGGCTCTCCTGTGTGGACAAGCGAGATCGCAATCACACCCAGTACAGTACGTCTGAAAATTATATAGTTTTTTTTTTAACGCTGGGCAGCAGGCACGACGCTCGGCGGGACGACGCGGAGCGCCAGCGGGAACTGGTACATCGATCATCCGAGCGGTTGCCGGATTACCGGTTGCATTCTATCAACCCAATAGGTCATCGCAAATGTGCCTGGCCAACTTGAGTGCCATACAATACTCCTGCCATTTTGTTTTATTACGGCCGTTGGTGACCAGCCTCAGACCCAGGATTAAAACACCGTGGCCACGTTGTCTGGTTCGTAATTTTAAATATAAAATGCCTAGTACCACAACGAAGCGAGCGAGGTTACGTACACGAGGACCCTTGTCGGTGTCTGGGGCATGCCCGTGCACATGAACAGATAAACACCGCAGAATGTTCATGAAAGTGCACAAGGGTTAAACGAAATAAACTTACACAAATCTATATACAGGGGAGTCTTCTTAATCTTACGAATATTCAACTTACGAACTTTCAGAGATACGAACAAACCTGTCCGTATGTCCAGTTGCCTGTTCGGAGTGAGAGTTGTAAGTTCAACCGCCGCGGTGGTGGCATCTACATCTACAGGAGACTACACACCTTTTAAAGCCATTCCCACGTGTTAAGTGTACATGTCGTACAACATGTTTGGATTCGACAGGAGTAAACTTGAACATATGAACAAACTTGTGAAATAGTTACCCAAAACCAGACTCCAAAAACCAGGGCATGCTTTTTCTGAACACCCAAGGTCAGCCTTGCTCCGATGCGTGCACCTGATTTGCTATCAGATTGGTGACAGTTCAAATTCCTCTTCTTGGTTCTTTCGGTAAAGTCACGTAGAATGGAAATAATAAAATAATAAAAATAAAACAAAATAAAATAATTCTCACGACGTTTCAGCCACAACGCAAGTCTTCTCGACAGACCTGCTCTCCACCTGAGGATGGCTGCTTGCATTGTGGCCGAAACGTCATGAGAATTTTTTTATTATGTTTTATTTTTATTATTTTATTATTTCCATTCTACGTGACTTTACCGAAAGAAGCAAGAAGATGAATCCCTGCAGTCACGAAAGCTTTAAATCGAAGTTCAAATTCTGTTGAGCGGTCATCTCGGACCATTATCACTGTGGGGTCGATAAAACGATTACCACGTTGTGCTAAGTCACGAGCGGTCACCCACCCCCTCTTCGGTGGATGGACTGGGAATGTGTAATTTCTGCCACTGGAGCTCAGCCACCAACAGAGATGAGGTTTTCTCCACCGCCCGTCTGAGTGGTGACCTCGATCGCCACTGCCCTTGGCGGGCCTGCAGCTGCCCTCCAACAAGATCGCAGTGTGGAAATGCTGCACTAGCTTCTGGGAAGGATGCAGCAGCAGAAGCAGCAGCACAGGTCGGATTGAGAGTGCGAGTTTCTCTCCACCGAGTGGGCACAGGTTCCAAGTCTGTCTGTTACAGTGGTTAACTGCAGTAATGCAAGGACTGATAATAGAGGTGTTGACCGTGAGGGTAGTGGCGATTCAACTTGGTTGCTATGGGGATTGCTCGAACATTGCCCAAGCCCTGCCTTTGTTAATGCCACCATACCTGCTCACATTTCATTATATTTAGTTTTTGTGACACCATCTAGTGCCTAGCTTCTGAACTCTTCATGCAACCTGCACATTCACTCAAATCTGTCCCCCCTGGATATCCAGAGAGACGATCACTGGGCCTTCCCCATCCTCAAGGCCCTCTTAAAACAAACCTGCCAATTACCTACAGGACCACTGAGTTGCAAGTGCTCCCTCCCGTAGCCTCAGAAGTGCCTCCTTATTCCTACTAAATATTCAATTTCTTCAAACTTTGTTTGGTAAAACGTATTTTCGCGTTGCTGCTCCACGTTTGTGGAATACCCTTGTTGATCATCTACATCTCGGTTCCCTCCCTTCACGTCCCAGTATTAACCCAAAGTACAGCACTTACTTGCACCTGCACCAAACTTTTTCTAGCGCCTCTTTCCCCCACACGCGTTTATGTCACTGTCAGACTAAAATAGACAGCTTACTCTCACATGTACTTAGCTTTTTGTGGCACCACAGGCTCTCACACTATTATAATGAACAAGCAATGGAGGAGCAAAGCCGGTGAGGGGGCAAGGTAGGTGGGCGACTCACGCAGCGGGTCGAGCGTGCGGATCGAGCCGTCGTCGCTCATAATACGTTTGGGCGACACCACGGACGTGAGCACGGTGCTGATCATGTCCTCCGCCTGCCTCCTGAAGTCCTCGTTCAGCTCGCTCGGAGACATGTTGTCCAGCTCTCTGCACCAATCACACGCCAGTTAGAGTCGTCCAGCAAACGTGCACGCGAGTGCGTGAGCGTGCGTGTGCGAGCGTGTGTACGAGCGTGCATGCGCGAGTGCGTGAGCGTGCATGTGCGAGCGTGTGTACGAGCGTGCATGCGCGAGCGTGCGAGCGTGTGTACGAGCATGCAAGCGCGAGCGTGCGAGCGTGCGTGCCTACCCACCCAAGCTGCGCGGCGTTCGCCAGCGGCGTGCTGAGCGGGAAGCAGCGCCGCACAGGGAAGTATTTGCGCAGCGAGTCCACGAGCTTCCCTTCGGAGGACGACTCGAAGCGGCTGAACGCCTCCTCCATGTACTTGTCGGGCGTGGAGTCCAGCGCCAGGTGGAAGTCTCGCATCACCCAGCAGAGGGATCCGGCCAGATCCTCACCATGGCCGGTACCACTGTGCGTCCCCGGTGCCGGCTTCAGGCGGATGTACTCGGAGAGCTTCAGCACGATGCTGAACACGGTATGGCAGCACGGAGAGCCACAACAGCAGCAGCAACGGCGACGATTATAATAATAACAAGCCTGTCCATTTGGTGCCCTGCGCCATTCCCACCGCGCAAGGCGGTCACCAAGGTGCTAAGGCGGCACGGATGCAGCCTGCACATCAGCAGGGGCCGACGTTGCTGCTTCTGTGGTGGTGGCAGCAGCAGCAGCGTGTGAGATCCCAACCGAATAACTCGCCAGTAATCTTTAGAATTCGGCTGATTTGGACCACGACGCCAGCACAAAGTTTGCCTCCTCATTTCAAATGACGTCGCAGGATCTCTTAGCGTCCACTGCATACGTGTGGAGATAACGGTCAACCTTCACACAAACGCCGGAACTTGACTTCCTGCATTGCACCCGGTTGCTCTGCATGACCCACCAACCCCACTTGCAGACACGCCGACCACCGCTGCGTGTAGCCTACGCCCAAGTCAGCAGTGCCGCTATGCAACACCCTTCGACAAAAGTATTGTCATGGTGCCAGGACGGCGCTGGGAACCCAGCTGCTCCAGAGGCAGCATCAAGCCCCGACCCCGGAGCGTGGGTTCGGGTGACGTGATTGACAACAACGTCACAACGTCACGCGAGGTCTCCCCCTTCAACTATCTCAAATCAAAGACGGAAAACAATCCGTGGCGCACGTAGCGCGTATGGAGGGATTTCACGCCCCTTCTGCATGGAGCTTTAATGGACAGCAATTTTTGGGCGCTCCCCAATACGCTCCCCGCTCCACTCTTCCTCCCTCTCACATTCATCGACCCCCCCCCCCACAGCCGTACCCGCCGAACAACTCCACTCCCACTAGACAAACCTCGACGTTAACCAAATAATAATGGGGGCTGGGAATGATAGATCCAAAGCACAGCCCAACTGTTGATTTAGGTTTGGCCCATTGTGTCGTGGCGGTGATGCGGCACAGCGGTGGCGCGTTTGCCACTTGCTGCAGGGGTTCACGGTTTCAATCCGGTTAACGCCACTAATTTACTAACCATACAAACACAACGCACCGTTTGGTTCACAGTGACGTTAGAAATCCCCTGACGTCATACGCAAGCCTAGGCCATTGTGTGCCATCCTCAGAGTCCAAATTTGCCATATACGAAAAATAACTACACCACCAAATTACTCAACTGGGACTGTACTGTAATAAGTAAACCGCCTCGCCTTCTGCCCCAGGTGACTCTAGCAAATGAAACTCCCTCTCGTCTCGAGAGTCAGAACCGACTCGTAGATGTATTGAGATAGAGCTCACATTTCGATTTAAAGCTTTCGTGACTGCAGGGATTCATCTTCTTGGTTCTTTCGGTAAAGTCACGTAGAAGGGAAGTAATAAAATAATAAAAATAAAACATAATAAAATAATTCTCACGACGTTTCGGCCACAACGCAAGCAGCCGTCCTCAGGTGAAGAACAGGTCCGCGCGTGGTGGTGTTTCATTCTCTCCAAGCGTGGTGGTGTTTCATTCAGACGCTGTCTCCCCGACAGACCTGGTCTTCACCTGAGGACGGCTGCTTGCGTTGTGGCCGAAACGTCGTGAGAATTATTTTATTATGTTTTATTTTTATTATTTTATTACTTCCCTTCTACGTGACTTTACCGAAAGAACCAAGAAGATAGAGCCCACACTCAAGGCGCGTGAACATTCAGCCGCAAAACTTCTCGCGGGGAGCCTCGGCTCCGGCTGGTGGGCGACGCAGGGGGGGCGGTGGGAGCGAGCCCAGGGGCACGCCCGCCCTCCATTGTCTGCGTCGTGACAGACACAAACACCTCACGGTGCACTTTGAGCTCCTGGACCGTTCGTTCACTTGGGCTGCGAATGCCAAATCTGCCGTCGCTTTGTTGCGAGGTGTCGACAGGCATATAGCAGCGCTTCTTCGGACACCAACGTCAAACTGGTCCCACGGTTCATATCGCAGTGCAAGGACCCACAGTGAATACATTCTATTTGCCCCGTGGGGTTCGTTTTTTTTTTTTACAATCGGAATGGTACTTCCTGGCACACGAAATGTAGAGAAGTTAATAATCAATTATACGGTTAATTAATAACTCATAGTTGGTGGTGACGATGGTGGTGGGGAGTAGAATCCTGGAAATCACCCATTCAAACACCCATTCCCTCACCGAGAGACAACTTGAGATTAACGAGCGAGCACGAGTTGGCCGGATTAAATACGCTCGCCACTGCCGCAAGCACGATGGTGCAGGCAGGTTCCCCACTTGCGTCAGACTGCTGCTGCCCACGGCGTGTGTTCCCACAACTGCTGCTGCTGGCATGGGTGAACCGCGCCAGCGCGTACCACACACGCCAATTCTGCTCCAAACCGCCACAGACCCACAGAGAGCGGAGCTCACACCATCATGTGTGGGACAAGCCTGGAGTACATTTGGAGTTTGCATGTCTCCCTCCCCGTGCGGTCACGTGAATTTGTGTCCGCGTCCTCCGGTTGCTCCCTCCACATTTATAATCAACGTGCGTTTAGAGTATTTAGCTGCTATACATTTCCACATCAGCCACTTCGTTAACAACCGCTTCTGAAAAAGAGCTAATATCTCGGGGGGCTTTACCTGGTAAAATACAAACAAGATAAAAAAATTTGCTTCACTGCGAGCGATGCCAACTAATAAATATTTATCACTAGATCACGGAATTAAAAACATGCACCGTGAGAAGCCCTCATGACATGCTTCAGGGCAACCAATGCCCTCTCAGGATTCCTGCCGTTGGCAAAGTCACGTGGGCTACACAGTGGAACTCTTCAGACCCGCGCCGCCCTTACGCAACTCGGCTGTTGTGGATACGAGAAACGAGGAATTCCAATCTCCTCGGTTATCTAAGATAACGGAGACGAAATACCGTAGTTATTTTTTCCACTATAAATCACAGACTGTCAAAACACGCTTGTACGTGTTAGACAAATAAATAACAGGAAGACCTCGTAATAACCATTGGCGACGTGAGAGACTATCTTTATATCGCTGACAAATATTTGTATCAACAACCAGAGTTATCAATTCAAGTTGACTGGCATTGTGCACTTCCTTTCATTGTTATCCTGTGGATCATGGCCTGAGGCAGCTGCCAAGAAACCTCAAATTACTCCACAATTTTACACCAAATTTGGAAATAGCTTGGCAGTCGCCACATGGGAAACGCCTTTGAAAAAGAAAAGTCGAATTTATGACCACCGACACATATCACAGCGCCCTTGTAATGGCTTGCCTTGTTTGGCCTATTGCATAAAAAAAAGTGTGAATGTGGTGCAGCAGCAGGGCCGGCGCTCAGGGGGTGGCTGGCGTGGGCCCTGCGCCACCGAGTGTCCCATCGGCACCACCTCAGTCATTCTCCGTCGCGAGCGCGAGATCACCGTTACTGTGGCACCGCACACAACAGCGCCACTGGCCCCCCGTCCGCGCGAGAAGCTGGAGCCATGTGCGAGAGATAGACGCGGGAAGGTCTCCGAACACCGAGAGGGGGCGACCACTCTCCGGAGGGTGGAGGACACAACGAGAGGGAAAGACAGCACGTGCACACGTGCGTGCACACGTGTACACGTGCACACGTGCGTGCGTGAACGAGCGTGGCGAGTGGTGGGAGCCGCACCGCAGGGCGTCGATGTCGCTGCGCTGGATCTTGCCCACGGTGTTGTAGAGCACGCAGCTGGCGAGCAGCACGGTGAGCGAAAACAGCTTGTAGTCATAGTCGCGGCCCTCGGCCGTGCTGGGCTCGTCCAGGCCCTCCGTGTCGAGCAGCACGAGGCGCGCATCGGGCCGAAGGGGGTGCTCGCGGCTCCACAACCACACGCCGCGCGTCACGGGACGCGTGCTCGCGCCCGTCTCGAAGCCGCCCTTGCCCCAGCCGAAGAAGCGCGACAGCAGGTAGGACTTGCCCGTGCGGCTGCTGCCGATGATGGCCACCACCTCCGCGGGGCCCTCGGGCAGCAGGGCGAGCTGCGTGGCCACCGACTCGTCCACCACGAATTTGCCGTCCGCGTCGCTGCGGATGAAGTGAAGGGGCTTCTCCATGGTGGCGGGGATCGCGCTGCACGGGGCTTGGGGAGGGGGAGGAGTGTCCATTAGCACAAAGAGGGGGGTGGTCAGTCGCACGGCTCGATGCATGCAAGAACACAGCGTTAACAGCTCTCTCCGTAATCTAACGTTATATTTAGAAAGCGCACCATCACTCAAGGTGCTTGACGTGGCTTACAAAACGAGGACACAGAATGGAATGAAACGCGACGACCACCCCCTCTGGGACGTCACGGGAGTGCGGCGCGAACGTGCCGCTAGGCTGGTGGCCAGGTGAGATGTTCCAGGTTTGTATGCAGGGCAAGAGCCGGGCGGGCTTGGGTGGCACAAAGCGGTGTAGTCAAGGTCAATCACAGTTCACACGCCTGTCCGTGTGTCTCTAGGGCAGCGTTCTTCATTGCGAGGCCTGCGGGACACTGGTGGCCCCAGGTGGCCTTTAGTGCGGCATCCGACAATACACAACACGTGACAACACGTGACAACACCCCCTATCGTGCTGTCAAACCCAACAACGGTTTCAAATGTGTGGGCGGTCCTCATACTGATGATCTATTATTATGAAAATGAGTGAAAAACACTGTTTTAAGGCCCTGCCATGTCTTCGTGTGTCTCCCCCCCCACGTCTCTGCTTACACAACAGTCGCCCCATATCCGTTTAATGTTTCCATAACTTAATTTTCGTGTGAATTATGGACCAGCCTAAAAATAACCTACCCGAGCCTGCTTAAGTTACAGAGAAAATAATAATTTTACATCGATTCCCGTGTGCACTATTTTACATATCTCGTGACAAGTTCTAGTTGACACAGCCAACTAGTAAGGTTTGTCACGTAAACAGAACGTGGCCAATTCGTCACTAGTAACAGCACACCGGTGTGTCGGAGAGCCAAGCCACAACATTTACAATCTGAGTATAACGTTTCGCCAGTAATTACAACCAGCTTCATCAGGCGACAGCCAGATTCTTTTCCTCCAATTTACATTTGTTTCTTATCATTCATTTATGTATTCACTTTGTTCTTCTTTTGACATTTTGGCGACAACCCGGGTCACTCTTCACTAAACGAAGACTCCCACCCGCCCCCCCTCTGCTTGTCGGCTGGTCATACAAATAAACCTGAAACTCGACATCCTCCGGTGGCCTCGTGCCTCCCCGCGCGTCTCTTCTCTACGGCCCTGGGGCCAACCCCCTCTTTGCTTGTTCCACGACGTTGAGCGGGCGCTCGGGTGACGGTCACACGGAGCTGTCGAGAGCAAAGCGCGACCCTCTCCACTCGACCCACGCGCGCCACCACGACTCGCTCGGAGCGCAGACGCGAGCGCGCAAGCCTGTTGGGCAACGCGGGCTGGAGAAACGTGGCGCTTACTTACAGTGTTGGGGATGAAGACACTCGAATCTGCGTGATGCAAGCCCCCCACTCCCCCCCCCCCAATCGAGTAGCAACTGAACTGGCACGCGCAGCTGCGTAACTGACTGAAAAAACCTAAGAATATGAATATAAGTGACGCCCGTCTGGAAAAACTCGCACCACCGATTGGCACGGTTGTGACTACGTTACGGTGCGAAAGAATTTCAACATACCTACACACAAAGACAAAGGTCTCCCGTCGTAGCCGTTAATGGAACGTTGGGGCAAGTGCTGTTGCGAGTAGCACCCATTAAGGCCGGCACGGCACACGAGGAGGTGGTTTGCCGGGACCACCTTTGTTTCACCAATCTTAATGTCTTACACACTGCACCAGTTACTCATTCGAGGCAGAGTAGACCTCAGGGAGAACCAGGAACCGCGGTTCAGATGTTCATCAGCGATGTTGGTGGCCGCGATTGGGAATCGAACTCGGTCGGTCGGGCCAGGGTTCGTAGCGCGGTGCGCTAACCACTGCGCCACCGCTCCCTGCAACTCACACGCCACACGCTCACGGAAACACTCCTCCCCGAACGCCGTACAAAGTACAGCTGCCACCGCTCACCTCGGAGGGGGTGGGGGGGTAGCTGTAAAGTCCACCCCTGGGACACGAACAGCGAGGGGGAACGCGCGATCGATGCAGGAGAAGGGCGAAACCTCTGCGGTTGACGCCTTTACACAGCGACTAACACGGCGACTCAACACACAATGGGAACAACGCCTTTACACCGAGTCCAACCACGGATACTTAAACGCAGTGGGACAAAAAACTCCACACAGAGAGAGAGAGACTAAACACGGCTATGACACGCAATGGAAATTCCTTTACACATCGACGAACAAGGCTACGATGGCAAAGCACTGGGACACATCTCGCACAGAGACGACGAACACGGCCACGCAAGACCAAGGCGGCGATATAACACAAAGGGGACTCCTGCCACGGAGAAACCAACGAAGACAGCCACACGGGAGAGCAGTGGAAGAAGAAGAAGAAGATGGTCCTTACCCAGGGCACAGCCGATGGGCTTTGGCTGCTGTGGAGTCACCTTCACAGGCGTCCGTCCGTTCGCCTCCCTCGCTCTCGAGACCCGGCAGCGGTGCCTCCTCCTCTTCCTCCTCCTCCGTGAATCGCGCGGTCGAAAGTCCAACGCTGCGAGGCGGTGCCTATAGCGGCGATGTTATAGGCGACTGGCACTCGCTTCTGCGACCAATGCGATCAGCGGACCCGCCGCTTCTTGCGAGGCTTGGGTGGCCGTGGTGAGTCGTTCTTCGCAAAGTCGCTGCAGGCAGCGTTTGTTGTACAGGGCGGTGGTGGTCGTGGCAGCGGCGTGCAGGTGAGAGTCGTCGCCGGTGCTGGAACGGACCGGATCTGGCCGGGGGTTGGAGGAGGAGGAGGAAGGAGGCTGCTGCTGCTGCGTGGGGAAACTCCTCGGGCTGAGTCGTAAATCCGTGGCAGTGGAACTTCCTTCCCCGCCAGGTTCACGCCGCCCGTGACCTCTGCGACGGCAGCTCTTCACTTACCGTGGGGGGGAGGAGGAGGGAGGTGATGGTGGTGGTCGCGAAATGTCAACACATCGTGCTCACGCTGAAATTAGAAAAAAAGAAAGTTTTGCCGGCTGGACGTCACGTCCCGGAGAGGCGGACAGACGGTCACATAGTTAATAACAAAACAAAAAAACATTGAACGTGTTTTCTCTGCGAAAAAAAAATTCAATACAAGTTTTCGGTGTTTTCAGGGTGAGGGGTGGGGGGTTGGGGAGAGTGATTGCACCTCCCCCCCCTCCCCCTCTTATCAGTGTGAGCATCTGAGCTTGGCACGCGAAGCGGGTTGGCAGAGTTGCGTGGCTTCGTGCGGACCGCGATGCAAGCAGCGCCTCTGCTGCTGCTGCCGCTGCAGCTTTGCTCTTCGTGTAAACTCCGCGAACCAGCACTCTCCAGCAAGCACTCACTGTACTTGCGGTTTTTTGGGAAAGTGGTCCGTGTTTTTTTTGTTGTTGTATGGGCAGGAAACGTACTGTACTCTTAGGTTTTTTCGGTAAAGTCCCGTAGGTAAAAAATAAAATTAAAAATTAATTAAAGTAATAATAGAATACAATTGGTAAAAGATCAAATAAAAATAATAATAAAAATAATAATAAAATAAATTTGGTATAGTAAAATAATATTCTATTATTACTTTTTTTTTACCTACGTGACTTTACCGAAAAAACCGAAGAGTATGAATCCTTGCAGTCACGAAAGCTTCAAATCTAGAAGGAAACGTACTGCCCTTTTGCTCAAGCGAGAGGTCCTTTATCAGTTCGCAGTAACTCACGCTTTACAGTCCTGTTGCGTTACAGCGGCCCCGCCTCTCGTTTCCCACCACGGCCGAATTGAGCAATGCCATCGATTCGGTCTGCTGTGGAAGTGTCCGCCAAGTTTGTCCAGCCCCGTCTCCTGTTCTCCTCCCAGCTGGGCAGCTCCGTGACCTCTCACTCACCCACTCACCCACCCCGGGTACGCGGTTACGTGACCTTGTCTTGCGGTGCCGTGGCACGCTCACGTTACCTTGTTCCGTGCCAGACTCTGTCGCAATCCGTTCACCTTGGGGTTATTAAGCCCGGTCGGGATAGAAGCGTGTACAGTAGTTGTTCCAAGGACAATCTTTAATCAGAATATTTTTCTTGTTTTTTTTGGGCATTTCACAAGCGTCTGGTCACAGTCGCAGCGCGCATAGAGGAAATTAACATTCGCGTACAAAAGGAGCAGAACCTGAAGTCCGCTTTATGTACAGTGCAGTAATTAAACCCTCGATCACAATCGGAGTACTGCTGCTAAGGAATCCATTCAGAAACAGTACTCTCAAATACCTTGAAGATGTTAGCCTAAGTAGTTCCTGATAGTATTGATGATATCGTTTCACGTGCTGTTAGTGAAAACGCACACACGTTGTACTGTATCCTCTTACATTGCAATTAACATGTTATTTACAATTGTTTTTTTTCTGAGGGTGGGAGGTCTTTCAGATTATAATGCAGCTGAAATATGTTATGGTAATGCACAATAAGATGATACTATGAAACACAATATCCATAATAAAGATTTTTCTTTGTTAAACTGCTTCTTATCCCGTCTAATTCCACCCTGCGTGTTGATGCACATCCAATGGAACCCTAGGGTGAAAGCAAAAGAATGCTGTACCTGATTCATAATTAGCTTTGGGTTAGATTGCTGAGGCGTGTAGATTTGTACCCCTAACGCTCAGTCACCCATCGGCTGAGCCAATCGAATCGAGTTATCAGCGTGGGCAAATATGCCAATTGATTTGGTTTCTCGCCAAAATCGGAATGTTGCAAAGAAAGCAAAACTAATTACGAATCGTAACATCGGTCGTGAAAGCCGACTTACGGTTTGCTCTTTAAAGCCAATTCAATATTTTCTAGATAAAATATGAAATACTAATAAGAAACTTTATTAGACCCCGCTTGCTTGCCCATCGCCACATATATAACCTTGTTGTAACTGCTCTCTCGCTGGTTCAACAGTTCCACTGCTGGATGATTATTTTTTTTCTGCCCGAGGACAACGGCTTGTGTTGCGATCGAAACGTCGTGATTTGATTTTTTTTAAATCCTCTATATTAAGTTAACTTGCTTGCTTGCTTGCGTGCTTGCTTGCTTGCTTAGGATCGTGCACATCTTTCAGCCGTTTTTTAACCCACTTCCCGTGATCCAATCGAGCTGACATTTTGCACACAGACTCGTTGTGCGTGACAATTAATTTTCGTGAATTTTTTTTTCTCCAAATTTTACACTGTTTAGGGAAAAATTAAAATATTTAATTACCAATTGCTTAATGGTGGCAGACAATCATCTGACCCATAGGTGGCAGCCATCTCAAGCCAGAGGACGAGAGGACTCTAGCCGCCACGCATATAAAGGATTTATAGTGAAAAACTTTGTTTTTACGGGTTAATTTTTAAATCCTTTATATTAAGTTCACTTGATTGCTTGCTTAGGACCGTGCAAATCTTTCGGTCGTTTTTTAACCCACTTCTCGTGATCCAATCGAGCTGACATTTTCCACACAGACTCGTTGTGCGTGACAATTAATGTTCGTGGGAATTTTTTTACAAAATTTTACACTTTTTAGGACAAAAATATTATATTTAATTACCAATTGCTTAATGCTGCCATGCAATCATCTGACCCATAGGTGGCAGCCATCTCAAGCCAGAGGACGAGAGGACTCTAGCCGCCACGCATATAAAGGATTTATAGTGAAAAACTTTGTTTTTACGGGTTATACTTGTTATTACCTACGTGACTTTACCGAAAGAAACAAAGAGTAAGGAGAAACTGTTGATCAAAATCTCATTCTGATCTCACTCTCAGCTGCGTGCGTGAGTGCGGGATTGCCGCTGGAAGGAGCTGTCCGCACCCGTGGTTAACGGCTCGACGTGGGAAAACATGGGAACTTTTGTAAGATAAGGGGCCGTCCATAAATGACGTCACGCACCTAGGGAGGGGGGGAGTCAGACATTTGTGACGATGTGTGACGAGGGGGGGGGGGGTTGAGAAATGTGACGTCACATCAAAATGCGCAACTTTAAATAAATATAGACAACACGTTCTACTTAATTAGACTTTTTAATCAATGTTTTCTCCAACAACATCAGAGTGTAGCGGCACATTAAATACGCACTACAATGACAATAGTTTAAAGCGATTTGAAACATGTTTTAATTTTTTTTGGGGGGGGGGGGGCAGAGCTTTGTGACGTCATATTTGAGGGGGGGGTCTGACGTTTGAATCGCGTGACGTCATTTATGGACGACCCCTAACGCAATGAAGCGACAAGCGAGTCACATCTCCATTCAGCCCCACGAACTCCAATGACAAAAAAAACCTGGTGTGTTTAATCGCCGTAGTAAATTACCATAACGCGATCCGCACAACACACATTGCCCTCCCCCAGCGGGTTAACATTTACATCCATGAATATCCATCGGCGTGCAGCCAGTGCACGCTGATGAAAACAAAAAATTAACCCGTAAAAACAAAGTTTTTCACTATAAATCCTTTATATGCGTGGCATCGGTTTTATTTTATTATTCATCTCTGTTTTTCTTGAGTAAGAGTTTCATTTTTATCACATTGGTATTTTAAATTAAATATGAAAAAAAAATTTGTCACGCACAACGAGTCTGTGTGCAAAATGTCAGCTCGATTGGATCACGGGAAGTGGGTTAAAACGACCGAAAGATTTGCACGGTCGTAAGCGCGCAAGCAAGCAAGCGAACTTAATATAAAGGATGTAAAAACTACGCACGATGATTGCTGCGTTACTTTGCATACGAATTCGGCTTTCCCAACGCGTTTTGATTTCGGATCGCCTGCCGAGAGTGGTGTCCCAGGCAACACGAGCACGCCAGTCTCGTGTGTGGTGTTTTTTAAATCCTTTATATTAAGTTCACTTGCTTGCTTGCTTGCGCGCTTACGACCGTGCAAATCTTTCGGTCGTTTTTTAACCCACTTCCCGTGATCCAATCGAGCTGACATTTTGCACACAGACTCGTTGTGCGTGACAATTTATTTTCGTGAAAATTTTTTTCCAAAATTTTCCACTTTTTAGGATAATTTTTTTTCCATATTTTATTTAAAATACCAATGTGATAAAAATGAAACTCTTACTCAAGAAAAACAGAAATGAATAATAAAATAAAACCGATGCCACGCATATAAAGGATTTATAGTGAAAAACTTTGTTTTTACGGGTTAATTTTTTTCTCTCCCAGTTGTACGACACACAGCGGCGAACTTGTTTGACTTGTTGGGGGGTTTGTTCGGCTCACGTCTACCCCGTGCCCAGATTGGCAACCTTCATCAATTAGGCTTGTCCACGACTCCACGCGGTTCGTTTCCATGAGCTGTTATGATGCTTGTTGTCATGAAATCTTGAGATTGGATTTTTTTGGATGTGTAGTGCGGTAATGCGTGCGCAGCTGATGAGAGGCACGTGCGGTAATTGCAGTGACACAGCTGATGAGAGGCACGTGCGGTAATTGAGTGACGCAGCTGATGAGAGGCGTCATGTGTATGGTCTGCGGGTTGGCTGTTGGGCAGATCCTGGAATTTAACACGTAGGCTTTCGCGACCAATATTATTCATAATATAGGTTTTTGGGTCAGATCGCGACACATTTACAAATAACGCGATCTGACCCAAAAACCTATATTATGATCCTGGGATGTCGGCGGAGTCTCGCTGGGGGAATAAAATCCGGCGTGCGGCAACGCACGGGGTTCTTCGTCTTCTTCTGCTTGGTCCCGAGAAGGTGCTGGCGGTGTAGGAGCGAGTCGGGGTAGCGAGTAGGGGGATTAAGGTGTATCACGTGTGAAGTGGAGTATGCGCTCACAACTGGCGTGGATAGAGATGAATAAAGAATGAGCAGGTGTTACCTTACTCTTGGGTTTTTCTGTAAAGTCACGTAGGTAAAAATATTATTTCTATCATTTTATCATTTATTTGTATTATTTATTTTTACCTACGTGACTTTACCGAAAAAACCTAAGAGTATGAATCCTTGCAGTCACGAAAGCTTCAAATCTATAGGTATTACCTTGCCTCGGAGTTCAGTTTCAGTTTAATTTATTAGGATTTACCCTGTGAGCCACTCGGCTCTTGTTTTAGGTTCAACCGCAACAAACAATAAAATTACAAGATACACCTAAAATTCATTGTCCACAAATCTCAACATCACATACGTAAACAATAAAATCCTACAGAAGAAGCACAACCCGTCCATGCTGCGTACGGAAAGTGTGTTCCACACTACATATGAAATGCCCATACCATTCTTTCTAAAATAAAATTTTAGGAAAATATCTTCTCGCAGTCGCTCTGAATAACTGGCCAAAGCGCGTCACCATTTATTTTGATTATTTTGTTAGGATTGAAAACTCCTATTTAGATGTTTGTGTATAGTTTTTCATTCCCTCATACCTTCGATCAGCACGGTTGGCTCCGTGCGGTGCGACAAAGGTTCAACATGTCCAGTTTAGTGCATTGTCAACGCGGGGAGGGCTCCTTGAGTCGCATGGCTTAGTCACATATTCACTTTAAGATGTTTTTTGTTCATGTTTTTGTTTTTTGTTTGTTGCGGTTGCACCCGATTCAAGAGCCGAATGGCTCACAGGGCTACACCTAGTACATGAACTTGAACAGGGGCTCTGCCAGGTCTTCGCAGGAGGTCGCTGGTCGCTATGTGCACACAGCAACTGCGCGCTGTGTACAGCAGCGCCTTACTGGAATCCCATTTGAGTAATTTGCGGACATTTTCCCAACTTTGAACCGCGACGGCCGGCACGCGACGGCCTACTCTTTCAATCGCGTCACGGGGTATTTGACGTGTGACGCAAACGACGCGTAGTAGTATTGTTATTGCGAATACCATAGGGGCCGTCCATAAATGACGTCACGCACCTAGGGGGGGAGGGGTCAGACATTTGTGACGATGTGTGACGATGGGAGGGGGGGGCTTCAGAAATGTGACGTCACGTCAAAATGCGCAACTTTAAATAAATATAGACAACACGTTCTACTTAATGAAATACATTTTTTAATAAATGTTTTCTCCTACAACATCAGAGTGCAGCGCCACATTAAATACGCACTACAATGGCAATATTTTAAAGCGATTTGAAGCATGTTAAATTTTTGGGGGGGGGGGGCAGAGCTTTGTGACGTCATATTTAAGGGGGGGTCTGACTTTTTGTGACGCCGTGTGACGAAAGGGGGGGGGGAGTCAAAAATCGTCCAAAATCGCGTGACTGTCATTTATGAACGGCCCCATACCTGTCAACCCCTTATCAGTGCCCTACCTTATTAGAGACCAATTCAGACCTTATTGGTCACCCCGTGGCCCTTGTACATCTCAACGTTCATCATACAAAGTCCCATCACAAGAGATAAACACAAATAGACACATATATATTCGCCCGGATCCAAACGACTGTTTGCCGTATGGACATGAAAAACTAAATTTCCCCTCTAGAAGAATACGGGGTAAACCGTGTGGGTTGACAGGTACGGAACACACAGCGCAGTATTGACCAGGGCGGCCGCTGGATTCACGATGCACCGTGATGATCCTGGGACTTGGTAACGCTCCATTAATCCGACCCTCGTCTCTCGCGGAGACCTCCGGCGCACCGCAAGGTACGGGAGGTGAATTACATCGTGAGACACAATTGGCGTAAATCCTCGACTTGTTAACCCATCTCTCGTTCTCGTCCCGTGGCGGTGGTGGCGATTGCCTCATCCCTCTCGACTGGTAGCCCCGCCCCTTTAAAAAAATATTAGCCCCGCCCCTCACCCCTCTTAGCCACGCCCCTAACCCCTCTTAGCCACGCCCTTCACCCATCTTAGCCACGCCCCTCACCCATCTTAGCCACGCCCTTCACCCCTCTTAGCCACGCCCCTCACCCCTCTTAGCCACGCCCTTCACCCATCTTAGCCACGCCCCTCACCCCTCTTAGCCACGCCCTTCACCCCTCTTAGCCACGCCCCTCACCCCTCTTAGCCACGCCCTTCACCCCTCTTAGCCACGCCCCTCATCCCTCTTAGCCACGCCCCTCACCCTCTTAGCCACGCCCTTCACCCATCTTAGCCACGCCCCTCACCCATCTTAGCCACGCCCTCTCCCAAATTATCCACGCCCTTCACCCCTCTTAGCCACGCCCCTCACTCCTCTTAGCCACGCCCCTCACCCATCTTAGCCACGCCCTCTCCCAAATTAGCCACGCCCTTCACCCCTCTTAGCCACGCCCCTCATCCATCTTAGCCACGCCCTCTCCCAAATTAGCCACGCCCTTCACCTCTCTTAGCCACGCCCCTCATCCCTTAAACCCCGCCCCTCACCCATCTTAGCCACGCCCTTCACCTCCTTGCCCCGCCCCTAACCCATTTAGCCCCGCCTATCGCCCCGCCCTATACTTTGCCACCTCCCCCCTTCTCCCCCCGCGCGAGCCAGTTACTCGCGTCACGTGACGCCCGGCCCTTGGTGCCGCGCATGCGCGGTGGCGCCCGGGCCGCGAGAGGCCGCGCTCAAGGGGGCCGGCTACTGCTGACGCCACCACCATCATCACCACCATCACCATCATCACCACCACCAGCGAGCGAGGAGAAGGAAGACCCAGCGGGGATGTCGCGACCCGCTGGAGGCAACGATGCGCGTCTGTAACCCGGCACCGCGGCAGCTGCAGCAGCCAGGGTAGGTGGAACACGCGCAGATGTTGCGAAACTCCCTCCCCCGTCACCTGCCACATGCATTGGCCGATAGCACCTTCGTATGTAAAGAATCGCAGAGCTTGGACAGTGGTTGGCACCGGCTCGCAGCGTGGCTGCTGTTGCTTGTGTTTCCCGCGTCTCGAGTGGTCCCTCTCGCCACGAGGGTGAGAGGTGTCTGTGCGCCAGCGCGCTACAAGTCGACATTGTTGTTGTTATTCGTGGTTCTTTCGGTAAAGTCACGTAGAAGGGAAATAATAACATAATATTAATATATTTATAGTAAAGCCGCGTAGAAGGGAAATAATAAAATAATATTTATATATTTTTATTATGTTTAAAATAATAATAAAATTATATTTATTATTATTTCCCTTCTACGTGACTTTACCGAAAGAACCAAGAATATGAATCCCTGCAGTCACGAAAGAAGCTTTAAATCAAAGTTGTTGTTATTCGGTCACTCCGCTCATGCCCGACCCCCCGAATTGGCCGTGCCCGAGTTGGGGCAGGAGAGGCTGGCGAGGGGGGGGATGGCAGCAACCGTAGAGACAGCGGGGAGTGAGGGGGGCATGTGGGGGGCATGTGGGGCTGCAGAAGCTTGCCGTGGCATTGGCTCCGTCTGCAGAACGACCACTGATGGGACAGCTTTTGGATGAAAACAGCAGGCCATGGGCTGCTATCATTGCGCCACTCAACAAGTTTGCTTTTGCAAAACTTTACATAACGTTTTAAACGTTGAATCATTTAAATGTCATCTCGTGCATGGAAACCATGCATTGCTGTGTAAGCACATGCTTGGAATTAGCTATGGCCTAGGTTAGGTAACTGTTTTACTGGTAGGAACCTCCTGGTTACACCAGCCCACAGGGGATTATTGTGTCCGTCCGTCCGTCGTGCATCCAAAAATGGGAGGGGTGGGGCTGGGTGGAGAGGGGAGGGAGGGGCTGGGTGGGGAGGGGCTGGGTGGGGAGGGGCTGGTCACCCCGTGGTGCCCTTATAAAACTCAACGTTTAACCTACTCACGCCGGCTTGTGCCCGCCCTCACAGTCGGGCATATTTGCGGAATACACCACGCCGCCGTTGACCCTGGCCATTGACCGAGCAACCCAACGTTCCAATGCCTTCAAATCCAGATGGGGGTGTTTCACTGCAAACTGCAGCCAGATTCAAAGGGTTTGCTGTTATGGCCTCAAAGCCCCAAAGACATCGTGTTTGTTAAAACGGTTTTATCTGTAGAGCTAACCATTTTAAATGCAAACATTTACCTTGCAGACATGTGCAGTTTCTTGTCGTTCGGAGATGGCAGTTTTGCTGCAGAAGTTGAACTGCAGACGAACCTGCATGGCCTCAAGTCTAGCACATCTGTCAAGGTGGAAGGAGATGGTGAGTCCCTTAATATCCATACCTTGTTCTGGTTTCTTACTGTCCACGAGATGAAGGCATATTTAGTTTATTACCCCTGGAGGATGATCAGTCGTATCCTGATTCGCAACCTTGTATAACCCACCCGTTGCTCTAAGAAGGCATGTATCGGCCTTGATTTTGGAGTGGTTAAAGTTTTCAAGTTTCATTTACTAGGTATAGCCCTGTGAGCCATGCGGCTCTTGAGTCGGGTGCAACTGCAACAAACAAAATATGAACAGAGAACATCTTAAAGCGACGACGCGCAACAGAAACATCCTGGATAAACCAGCAAATCTTCCAGAAAAAAACCCACCATATTACAACGCTGTGTGCAAAAATCACAGTGTGATGCAAGTCAAACAATAACAACCATAAGACAATTTAGATTAACGTTATCAGACCAACTCCGCACTTCCGCAAGAAGCATGGCTTAACCATATGTTGAAGGTGTACACATCATAATCCATTACTGTAAGCAATGATGGGAAACTCTTAATGCATACAATATTTATGATTATGTCTCTTAGCTTTTTCAAGTTGGAGATATAAATTAAATTGCATCGAAACTGCTATGGTAACAGTTCAAATAGATACATTATTACAATTGATAGGGATATTTATATTGTTTCCAAGATTGTTTTTACAGCATTAATATTGCAAAGCACACATTTAAATGTCTACATCATGGGTAGATGCAGCCTCCATCCCGCTAAACAAAATCTGCCAAGCACCGCCTTAGACAGCCCCTAACAGTGTCCGATTAGCACGGTTGGCTAAGGATGGTGCAAAATAAGTTCTACATACTTACATTCATCATGGGCAGCAGGGTGGTGCAGTGAAGGACACTTGTGCCTCACAGCAAGAAAGTCCTGGGATTAATTCCCTTGTGTGCCGTGTTGGCCATTATGAGTCGCTCGCTAACAGCACTTGCGCTGACAGTCTGTTAAGGCTATATGTGGAATATTTGTGATTTTAACTTGTTTAGCAATTGCACTGGTAATTTGTGTAACTGCAGCTGCTGAATTCCTGATCACTCCCCGTGTTTGAGAATCGCCCGTGGTGAGGAATGTCTGGTGCTGCTTATGATGTAGGTTCTTGTTACAGACGCCGATGACTCCTGTGTGGGTGGTAGTGAGAGCGACACGTTTTCACATGCGGTTGACCAACTCGAAGTTGTGGGAGTTTCAGACCAAGATGAGTCTTCCACAGATGTTAAACTCGAGGACGGTAAGTGCAAGTGACGAGGAATTCGTTCTCGTTTTTGGCACACAGCACAAAATCACTACGATTTCTACAGTGAATCCACCGTGGCAGAGTTTCTCTTTAGCCACGGCATTATGGGGGGACACATTGCGGACAAGCAAATTGGTAAATCGGAGTTTCCTTCCAGATGTGAGAGAAAAACTCCTCTTATCTGTAAATTTTAACCACTCTAGCAATGAATAAAAGGGTTCATTCATGTTGTGGTTTATCGAACTACTGCTCCATACATCCTATGATCCGCAAAAATCCTTGATAACAAGATGACTGCGTTGCGCCGTGAACATTAGTGTGGCGGATTTCGGTTGCAGCGGCATCGGTAACGACTGCAGACGGGGAGAAAACGACGATCTCATTGTCGTCAAACTTCATCACACAATCATCCATCACATCATCACACCTCAAAACAGAATCATTCATCATCACACATCAACACAATCATCCATCATCACATCATCACCCGATCGTCCATCATCACCACACATCACATCATCACACATCACATTATAACACATAAACTCATGATCACCCTTTGTGTCTCGTTTAGGTGAGATTGAGGGAAAGTACCTCTCCTCATCGCACTTCAACTATTTCCAGGAGACCTTCAGCGACAGCAGTTTAGAGGATGAACAGCAGGGCCTAGAATGTGTTGGTAAGATTGGGGGTGGTGGTGTTGAGGATTACAACATTGAAACCAATGAAGGGAAAGCCTCGGCTGAGTATCAGCAGCTGCTGGAGAGAGGTGAGGCCTGTGGCGAAGCTCGCGAAGTAATCCCGAGCCGGGAGGACAAAACTGGCGACATTCGGCCGTACCGCTGCACGGACTGCGAGCGCGTGTTCCCGCAGCGATATCAGCTCAAGTGCCACGTGCGTGAGCACACCGGAGAAATGCCGTTCGTGTGCGAGGAGTGCGGCCGCGGTTTCCACACGCTGTCCACCTTCACCGTGCACCGGCGGCGCCACACGGGCGAAAAGCCGTACGCGTGCGAGGTGTGCGGCAAGGCCTTCGTGAGCGTGGCCTGCCTGAGGCTGCACACGCGCACGCACACGGGGGAGCGGCCGTACGTGTGCGACGTCTGCGGCCGTGCGTTTGCGCTGAAGTGCGCCCTGACGGTCCACCAGAGGACACACACGGGCAAGAGGCCCTACGTCTGCGAGTTCTGCGGCAAAGCGTTCGTGGTGGCGAGTGCTCTCACGGTACACCGGCGCATTCACACCGGAGAGCGGCCGGTGACCTGCGAGCGCTGCGGAGCTGCCTTTGTCAGCTCGTCGGGCCTGGCCAAGCACATGACGAGTCACACGGGCGAGAAGAAGTTTGTGTGCAAGGAGTGCGGGAAGGCGTTTGCCCGCTCCTCTTATCTCACCCAGCACGTACGCATGCACACGGGGGAGAAGCCCTGCGTGTGCTCGCGCTGCGGGAAGGCATTCAAACAGTACGCGGGACTCAACTACCACAAGAAGAAGTGCCTCATCAGTTGTGTTTCTTAAACGGTGACCGCGAGGAAATGAAGCCGTGCAACTTGTGATGGGAACCAGCTAATAGCAGGCAAAACATCTCACGCCTTGCTCCGTTACAGTATTGTTTGATCCGTCTTTCGTGAAGTTATTGGGGAGAGGGGACATTTGCGGTTTGAATTCCGACACTTGTAATGTCATTTTGACTGATTTAAACGTCTATAGATTCCCCTTGAACAGGGAATGTATATGTATGTGACTTTGGGTTTACTGCTTTAGCACCATTGCATCATGAAGCTGAGTTTCTGTCACTATAAAATTCACAATTATCTCACGTCACTACGAGTGTTAGTGGCATTACTGACACTTTATTTTTTGTCAAATGTTATTGTAAAATGTCTTCGATATTTACACATTTTTGTGGAATGGCTTCAGCCATCTAAGTTAAATATGGGATATCTCTTTGTTACAAGAGTTACATTTCTGTTCTGTTTATGACTGCACCCAATGTTTGACAGAAAAGAACGCAGGATTCAGATGTTTGGTATTGAAGCATATTGTAAAGCTCAGATTCTATAAACGTGATTAATACGTTATGCATGTTAGAATTCAATCATTGAGTGAATCGGTAATGGTAACTCCCAACAAGAGTGAAGTTGCTGCTAATGCTTTTGTGTTTATTGATATTCAATATGTGATCATTAATGAAGTGATACAATTAGCAGTGGACTTTACATCAAATGCTTGGAACCACAAGTGTAAAAACATTCATGTACATTGGCTAAGAATTTTATATATATTTAAATTGACGCTTCAGTATTTTTGTAATAAATCATTATAAAAAAATGCTTCTTTCGAGAATGCTCTCGTTAACTGAATAGATTTTTTTCCTTGGAAAAATGCAAAGTTCCATCTGTCTTAATAACCCCCAAAAACGAAATCAGACAAACCTATTAACTGATCCCTTCCCTTGGCCCTCTTATCTTAAAACAATACAAACTCACCACACATCAATATGCTCCATAGCATTGCCCTTTTAGAGGGCTATGAAAAGTGTAAGTATTACAGTAGAAGCTGGAATGTTTTCAATATCTGACATCCTTTACCAGTGACGTGGACGATTTAAACGAGAGGTTTTACTTTGTGGAGTACTCCCTTGCTTCGCAGACCAATCGCAACACGTGACAGTGGAGCCGAGCGGATACACGAGGGCTCATCTCCATTGCGGACAAACGGTCAAACTCGTTCATAAAAAATTAACCCGTAAAAACAAAGTTTTTCACTATAAATCCTTTCTATGCGTGGCGGCTAGAGTCCTCTCGTCCTCTGGCTTGAGATGGCTGCCACCTATGGGTCAGATGATTGCCTGCCACCATTAAGCAATTGGTAATTAAATATAATTTATTTTTTCCTAATAAGTGTAACATTTTGGAAAAAAAATTTCACGAACATTAATTGTCACGCACAACGAGTCTGTGTGCAAAATGTCAGCTCGATTGGATCACGGAAAGTGGGTTAAAAAACGACCGAAAGATTTGCACGGTCGTAAGCGCGCAAGCAAGCGAACTAAATATAAAGGATTAGAAATAGCTTCCGATACACGTTTTAATATTGCATTGTACGAATCAAGTGGTTTACAAAAATGAAGATGTCCATTGCATTTATTGAAAGTGTTAAGTTTTGAAATTGCCAAAATTATCTGTTGCACAACTCGGTCGAGTTGAAGTGGTGTCATGTTTACAGACCGTGGTCTGTGAGGGGATTTTCAAATTGTACGCTTCCCACTGGCCAAACTGTAACGAGACAATTCGCCCACAACACCGACAACGAAAAGTAAAGAAACACTTCATTGTCAGGTCGCTTGGAAGACTTTTGGCTCGTTTATCCAATTGGATGCTCATTCCTTGTGGCTTGTCACAAAAAGTGGTGGCGATTTGTCAAACTTGGGTCGGGTGCAATTTGTGTCTTGGCAGAAAAATGTGCCCCACTAGCAGAAGTGAGGACTGTGTAAGTAGTTGCCTCCTAATACCGGTTCGTATGATCGGTTTCATTTGAAATCTTGTGCTGATGCTTTGCTCCTGGGTCAGTTGAAATCAGTAGTTGGTCTCCTCCTGTGGTACCACCTCCATGAGTAACTGCAGCTCCTGAGTGATCCACTCTGTGGAGATGGAAACGATGCAAATTAATTATTGCAGTGAAGAGCCACGTCTTTGAAATTCATGCTTTTCCGGCTTACGCTATTTTTAAATCCTTTATATTAAGTTCGCTTGCTTGCTTAGGACCGTGCAAATCTTTCGGTCGTGTTTTAACCCACTTCCCGTGATCCAATCGAGCTGACATTTTGCACACAGACTCGTGCGTGACAATGCATTTTCGTGAAAAAAATGTTTCAAAATTTTACACTGTTTAGGGAAATTTTTTAAAATATTTAATTACCAATTGTTTAATGCTGCCAGACAATCATCTGACCCATAGGTGGCAGCCATCTCAAGCCAGAGGACGAGAGGACTCTAGCCGCCCCGATGCCACGCATATAAAGGATTTATAGTGAAAAAATTTGTTTTTACGGGTTTACTTGTTCAGTTTTCTCGTCGTTTATAGATTTGATTCAAAATGCACGAGAGAAACTCGCTGATTTACGATTCAAGACGGGTAGTGCTCCTGAGTTAACCTATCACCTCTTGCACCCCCGATCTCCACGCGCAGGTCAGAGTATTTCTGTATTGGCCCCCATTTAAGTGAATGCAAACTGAATAATTCATGAAAGTGTGCATATTTCATTCTTCAAAGCCCATTATATGAAATAAAATAACTAGATCATCTGTTAGAATACCCAGGGTGAGGATTATCCATGCTAATGAGAATAAAGAACAGATTCGCATGAGCGCAGGTTTATTTATTAAATTATCTGTCTCACATGGGCCTCTGTGTGTCAGGTGTGGGCCGTAGTTCAACACAACCAGGACCCGTATCGAACAGGGTCCTTGCCGATAACAAAGTTCAGCGTTGGAGTTCAGCAAACCTGACTTTTCTGATGAGGCACTGATTGTCGTGGAAACTTTTCAGAGTTTGCTCGCATTCAACCAATGCTGCTGAATAAATGCACTCCCAGAAGGCCATTGTGGCCGATGCAATGTGTACAAAAAGCTTAAGATTTTCGCGTTTAAGTGGAGAGAGATCTATGGAAAGTAGAGGCCGACTGATATTCGGTTTCGGCGCCGAAAGTTGGCAAATGGCCTGCATGGTTTCGGCCGAAAGTCAATGTTTAACTTTTGGTCTGGTTTTGGCCGAAACTAATATTGACTTTCGGTCGTCTTTCGTCAACCGAAGATCTATTTGTAGAATATAACGCTAGTGCTACGTCTATCACTGCCTATGGGCCGGTCAGTCGGCGCTAGGCAATCTTATGCGATAGGCTGCAAACACACACAGTCAGCAGCAGCAGCAGCTTGGGAGCGAGGTTACAGCCGCAACCATGGTCTGCTAATGTATATACGACTGAATGCGGAAAAACTTGTTTCTTAACTACAACATTCGTTGGTTTGGATATAATTACTAAGTAAGTAACACCTAAAGATTTGATATTTAGCGACTCTTACTGCAGGCTCTGAATGATTAGTTCTAGATTTATTTTTAATTAAAGTAGCATTGCATCATGACATATTTCATAAATCTTGTGTTCGGTAACTTCGGTTATATACCTTTCGGTTTCGGCCGAAAGTCAATTTTTAACTTTCGGTCTGAAATTCAGTTTCGATCGGCCTCTAATGGAAAGGAGGCGTATTGTTAACGTATTTATTTTGTTACTTATATTCTCCACACTGATGCTAATGAAGTTTGTTTTTGGTGGTTCATATGAGCACAGGTTAATGCACATTCAGAAGTAATTGTGTCGTTAAGTGAGTATAGGAAATAGATGTTAAAGGCTTAATGCGTTCAGATGGCATCGAAAGTTACTTTTTTCACTCAAAAAACGTACTTGATCATATTTAAATAATGGATGTTATAATACGTAAATATACATAAATATGATTTGGGTCTTTCTGTAAAGTCACGTAGATCGGTTCAAAGAAAATAGGTTAAAATACATTTATTTTTTACATATCTACGTGACTTTACCGAAAGACCCAGAGAATATGAATTCCTGCAGTCACGAAAGCTTTGAGTCAAGATACTCACTTTCAATTGAAAGAAAAATGGTAAATCAACGCATTAATTAATATTTACTGAACCTGTTAATGGCAAGTCGTTAACAGGGGAATGCTCGATAAGCGAACACATTGGGCTCTATAGAGGCCCGTCGTTAAGCGATTAATCGTTAACAGGGGTGCTCGTTAAGAGGGCTTCTACTCTACACTACTATACACTACACTATACACTACACGACTATACACCACTATTATATACGACTATACACTACACTACTATACACTACACTATACACTGCACTACACTATACACTACACTACTATACACTGCACTATACACTACACTACACGACTATACACCACTATTATATACGACTATACACTACACTACTATACACTACACTATACACTGCACTACACTATACACTACACTACTATACACTGCACTATACGCTACACTATACACTACACATTGGGCTCTATAGAGGCCCGTCGTTAAGCGACTAATTGTTAACAGGGGTGCTCGTTCAGAGGGCTTCTCCTCTGCACCACTATATACTATACACTACACCACTATACACTACACCACTATACACTACACTATACACTACACGACTATACACTACACTATACACTACACTACACCAATATACACTATAAACTACACAATGGGCTCGTCGTTAACAGGGTTGCTCGTTCAGAGAACTTCTCCTCTCCACCACGGCATCGTGGCATCAGCGTCTCGCGAGCTCCACGTGCCCCCCCCCCGCCCCCCCGCGGGGTCAGCACCGGCGCGGCGCCGGACGCGCTCCGGCCACGCGCTCCGTCCGCGTTCCGTGAGGCAGGCGGCGTAGACGGGCACGCCGCTCAGCGTGATGAGGGCGCCCATGCCCAGGTTGGCGGGGGACGAGTAGACGGAGCACGCGACGATGCCGAGGCAGCAGCACGAGAAGAGCGCTGGCACCGCCAGGGGCACCTTGGAGGCGAAGCGAGAGACGGCGCCCACGTGTCACTAAGTGGTGGTGGGCGGGTTACAGCAGCAGCAGCGGTAGCAGCAGCGGCAGCAGCGGCAGCGGCACCGGGCGTACAAGCTGGAGCGTGTGCGCTATTTCGTAACCTGTCAACCCCTTGTCAGTGTTCTTAGGTTTTTTCGGTAAAGTCACGTAAGTAAAATTTTTTTATTAATAAAAGTAAAATAAAAATAAAATAAAAATCACGACGTTTCGCAGGCAACACAAGTCTCCGTCATCAGGTGGGACCGTCACAGCTAGATTTGCTGTATCAAGTGCCCTACCTTATTGCAGAAAATGTCAGACCTTGTTGGTCATCCCCGTGCCATATGGGGCCGTCCATAAATGACGTCACGCGAGTTTGGACCATTTTTGACCCCCCCCCCCCCCCCACTCGTCACACGGCGTAACAAAAAGTCAGAGCCCCCCTTTAGATATGACGTCACAAAGCTCTGTCACCCCCCCCCCCCCCCAAAACCAGATTTCCATTTTGAAAATAAAACATGCTTCAAATCGCTTTAAACTATTGTCATTGTAGTGCGTGTTTAATTTGGCGCTGCACTCTGACGTTGTAGGAGAATACGTTTATTTAAAAGTCTATTTAATTAAGTAGAACGTGTTGTCGATATTTATTTAAAGTTGTGCATTTTGGTGTGACGTCACATTTCTCAAACCCCCCTCGTCACAAATGTCTGACCCCCCCCCCCTAGGTGCGTGACGTCATTTATGGACGGCCCCTTATACATCTCGACGTTCGTCCTACAAAGTCCCATCATCAAAAGGGAGAAACACAAACAAATAGATAACTATTATTTTTTTTGCCCGTATTGAAACGTCTGTACGCCGTTATTGCACCTGAAAACTCAATTTCCCCGTACAAGAATAACGGCGTTAACGCGCACGGCTTTGACAGGGATAGCTCTTTTGCATCGCGCGCGGCATGGATCGGAACCCTACGTGGCCCAACCTGAGCGGTCCGGCTCGCCCGGTACCTTGAAGGGGCGCGGAAGATCGGGCCGCCGTACTCGCTGGTACACGAGGCCGAGCGACACGAGGCCGACGAAGAACCATTGGGGGCCGCTGCAGTAGTTGATCAGCGCGTGCACGTCCCCCAGCCACATCAAGCAGAGCAGCAGTGGCAGCTGTTGGGATGATGGCGACCATAGATTCAGCTTGTAACGCGCCGTACAGAGAGCGAGAGAGGGGGGGGGGGGACTCGGAAGCGGGAGGAGCCACGGGCAGACGGGAAGGCAGCCACGCGGTGAGCCGGTGCCAAACATTGCCCGAGCTCTGCGGCCCTCTCGACAGGGTGCTTCAAAAAGATGTTAACACTTTTTATGGGACTATCGTGTTTTATGGAAATGATAATACACTGCAACGTGATAACAGATGTATGTCCATAGCTGCAAAAAGTCAGAGTCTCCACTCACCACTGGAACCTCATTTGCCAGTAAAAAATATGATAATTGGTTTTTACCCTTCTATCTGGCAACAAAACTGACAGCTTTTTTTTCACAAGGAGTCATGTTTGCATAGACCACAATACCTGCAGCCACAATGCAAACAAAAAACATAACTCTGATAATGTATGCACTGTCCTTGAAGTTGATTGGTCCACACCCGAGACAGCTTTCCTTAGAGCCTAGTCTCACATGGTGTTGGACCAGATGACGCCATCGTTGTCAATGCATGCCTGGAATCATACCTGGAATGCCTGGAATCTTCTTCTCCAGGTGGTCTCCAGAGCCCGGAGGCACATTTCTCGAGGTATTGTTGCAAATTCTCAGAAGTGTTCACACTTTTTTTGAAGCACCCTGGATATTAAGCGTTTACATGTGGGAGAAAACCGGAGCACCCAAAGATAACCCACGCGTCTCCAGGGGGAAACACGATATCCCATACAGATGGAACACATTGAGTGGAGTTCACACTTTCTGTACTCCCTTCTCCTGGCGAGCCAGGGTATGGCACCTCCTCGACAAAGGGGAGTTTCGCAACATATGTGCGTGATCCACTAACCATCGCTACCTCCAAAGTGCTGGATCGCAGTCCACGCATCGCTACTCTCCCAGCGGGACAGCAGATTGCACAACCGCACCTCACAGCCTGGAGTGACCGCCGCCTGCCTGGGATCCCAAACCTTCTCTCATCCACAAGTACTACTGTGCACAGGGTAACGTACAAATGGCCTCACGACTCGACCGCAAAGCAACGTCTTCACCGCCTGTGGCAAGACAAAGCTAGGGTAGCCTCGCCCTGGGGAATGGAACAAACACCAAATGTCCTCATCGAGTTGTTTTGATTGATTTCATTCTGGTCCTTTGTGTCTGACCAACGGGTTCATCGACAAATGCTCAGAGCTCCTGCAAGAAAGAGAGGTGAGCTCTGCATGCAGTTATGAGCTACCCGTCGGAGGCCGTTAGAGTGCGAGAAGGGCTGCGTGCAGAACGAGAGAGAGAGCGAGAGAGTGAGCGAGAGAGTGAGCGAGAGGTGGGGGTTTACATAAAGCAAAGTTATTTTTTTAAAAGATACGAAATGATGAACGAAGCAAAGTGCCGACGACACCGAGCATCTTCTTGTTTCCGCTGATCGTAAAAAAAGAGAGGTGGGGGGGGGTTCCTCTCCCAGTGCTGCGGCCGCTACACGCGCGATGACACCGCCGCGCTCGCGATGACACCGCCGCGCGCAAGATGACACCGCCGCGCTCGCGATGACACCACCGCGCTCGCGATGACACCGCCGCGCTCGCGATGACACCGCCGCGCGCAAGATGACACCGCCGCGCTCGCGATGACACCGCCGCGCTCGCGATGACACCGCCGCGCGCAAGATGACACCGCCGCGCTCGCGATGACACCGCCGCGCTCGCGATGACACCGCCGCGCGCAAGATGACACCGCCGCGCTCGCGATGACACCGCCGCGCTCGCGATGACACTGCTACGCGCACGATGACACCGCCACGCGCACGATGACACCGCCACGCGCACGCCGACGCCGCGGGACGAGCGGCAGCGCCGCCGCCACTCGGCGTTGAGGCTCACCAGCAGCAGCATGGCCGGGCAGGGGGTCCGCCTCCTCACGTGGATCATGCTGAAGATGCTCGGCCAGTGGCGCTGCCGCGACGCCACCATAAACAGCCTGCAACGGCGGGGAGGGTGGCGTTCCGTTGGCGTGCGCCAGCTCGCGATCCGAGCCTTCGCCTACCCACGACATCGGCGTCGTCGTTCCCTTGGATCGTAATTTTGTTCCCGACCTTCGACTGCCGCGGTGGCAGAAGCTTACAGCTCGCGCGACGCAATGGGGCGAGACGCCAGAACGAGCTGGTCAAGGCGGTCCGTCAAGGGAGCCTCGAACTTTGTCGCGGGGTTTGACTGCGCTCCTGACATAGTGTGTGGTGAGACTCAGCGAGGCTTTCCCGGTGACACACGTGTAATCGTAATAAAAATAGTAATAATAATTAGGCGAGAAAAAATATTTTGCCCGTCAGAGGAACGTGGAATTGTCTCTCATACGAACGTGGAACGCCGCGTTGCGTGGTGTTTTCACGTGTGCACGTCTCACCTGGGTGATGTAAAATACGAGCCCATGCTGCCGCCCAGGCAGGACAGGGCCACGCAGAGGGGTACGATCGTAGAGAACGCATTGCCCAGGGTGTTTTCGGCGAATGTCTGCAAATGTCGGGATTTGGGTTACCGTCGAGAGCGTCGCGGGCACGACACCGACGGCGTTGCGCGTTGTGCGCTCAGGGCCACGACGTGGGGGGCAGGCAGCTGTCTCCACGCGAGAGAGGACATCGTCGACTCGGGTGAGGACATCCAAGGGGGCTTCATCGAGGAACCGGACAGCGCTGGCAGTGGCTTCACCGTAGTTTACTCTCACGGAGACCCACAGACTCAGCTCCCCGTAGATTCACATAGAGACCCAATGACTCGTACAGAGACCCACAGATTAATCTCCCCGTAGATTCACATAGAGACCCAAGGACTCGTACAGAAACCCACAGACTCAGCTCCCCGTAGATTCACATAGAGACCCAAGGACTCGTACAGAGACCCACAGACTCAGCTTCCCGTAGATTCACATAGAGACCCAAGGACTCGTACAGAGACCCACAGATTAATCTCCCCGTAGATTCACATAGAGACCCAAGGACTCGTACAGAGACCCACAGATTCAGCTCCCCGTATATTCACATAGATACCCAAGGACTCGTACAGAGACCCACAGATTCATCTCCCCGTAGATTCACAGAGACCCAAGGACTCGTACAGAGACCCACAGACTCAGCTCCCCGTAGATTCACATAGAGACCCAAGGACTCGTACAGAGACCCACAGATTCATCTCCCCGTAGATTCAAATAGTTCCACAGACTCGCACTGAGACCCACAGACGCAGCTTCCCACAGATTCGCATAGAGGCCCACGCACTCGTAAACAGACCCCGCGAAGAAACTGGAATGCGTTGGCTCACTAAGATTCCTTGGGGAACTGGTCTGGTGGAACCCAGCGATGGTGCAGCAGCATCACCACCATGCTGTTGTCTTGCGTCCCAGTTACCGGATCAATTAGCTCACCAGTACACGTCACCCGAGACGGGGATGATTGCTTCCTCAACTGGGATCCGCGGAGCGCCGCTGACCGCCGCCGCCACCACCGACGCTCGCGGAATCCACGTGGAGACGAAGCTCGCGCGCTCACCTGGGCCACGGCAGCGGAGCCGAGGATCTGCGACGGGGTGAGCACGGCGCAGTAGGCGGCGTTGGCGAGGAGGTAGGTGACGGTCACGATGGCCAGCGAGGCGCAGATCACCACCGGGATCGTGCTGCGCCGGGGGTGGTGCAGGGGTTCGTGTCTCAGCATCAGGAGCGTCGCCCCGGCCCCACTCACCCACCCACTCACCAAATCACTCACCCACTCACCAACTCACCAACCCACTCACCCACTCACTCACCCACTTACCAAATCACTCAGCCACTCACCAACCCACTCACTCACCCACTCACCAAATCATCAGCCACTCACTCACCCACTCACTCACTCACCACTCACCCACCCACTCACCAAATCACCAAATCACCCACTCACCAACTCACCCACTCACCAAATCACTCACCCACTCACCAAATCACTCACCCACTCACCAAATCACTCACCCACTCACTCACCACTCACTCACCCACCAAATCACTCACTCAACTCACCAACCCACTCACCCACTCACTCACCCACCCACTCACCAAATCACTCACCCACTCACCAACTCACTCACTCACCCACTCACCCACTCACTCACCCACTCACTCACCACTCACTCACCCACCAAATCACTCACTCAACTCACCAACCCACTCACACACTCAGCAAATCACTCACCCACCCACTCACCAAATCACTCACCCACTCACCAACTCACCCACTCACCAAATCACTCAGCCACTCACTCACCCACTCACTCACCACTCACTCACCCACCAAATCACTCACTCAACTCACCAACCCACTCACACACTCAGCAAATCACTCACCCACTCACTCACCACTCACTCACTCACTCACCCACTCACCCACTCACTCACCCACCCACTCACCAAATCACCAAATCACTCACTCAACTCACCAACCCACTCACCAACCCACTCACCCAACTCACCAACCCACTCACCCACTCACCAACTCACCCACTCAGCCAATCACTCACCCACTCACTCACTCACCAAATCACTCACCCACTCACCAACTCACCAAATCACCCACCCACTCACTCATCCACCCACTCACTCATCCACACACTCACCCAGTCACTGACCAACCCGCCCACTCACCAACCCACTCAAACACCCACCCCCTAACCCACTCACTGCCTTCAAATGTATGTTTGGGGCAGTACGAATTTCAGTGGTCCACGATGTGGTGTTTGTGCCCGCACTCGCACACAGGAGAGAGTCTTTGATTTTCCACGTGTGCACCAGGTGATAAAAGTAGTGTACACGCGATACGGCGTAAAATATTAAAACTATACTCTTTGGTTCTTTCGGTAAAGTCACGTAGGTGGACACAATAATAGATCAAGACGTTTCTATCGCCACACAAGCAATCGTCCTCTGAGGATCTATTATTTTTTATTATGTTTTCTACCTACGTGACTTTACCGAAAAAACAAAGAGTATGGATCCCTGCAGTCACGAAAGCTTCAAATCAAGATTAAAACAACTATTGTATGAATATTTCCAAAGAATATGTCAGCGAGATGAATGGTAACTACGGTATTCAACGTCAAGCAAAGATAAGTGTAACTTTGGCTTCAGGACACAAGATAGAATCAGAAGACTCCATCTCAGACTTGTTCAACTAAAACCCACGAGGAGACTCAATCTGGCTTTTCTCTTGCTGCTGCTGGCGCTGCTGCTGTTACTGCTGCTGCAGCTACTGACGCTGCTGCTGCTGCTACTGCTACTTCTGCAGCTACTGCTGCTGCAGCTACTGACGCTGCTGCTACTGCTGCAGCTACTGATGCTGCTGCTGCTACTGATGTTGCTGCTACTGCTGCTGCTACTGCTGCTGGCGCTGCTGCTGCAGATACTGACGCTGCTGCTACTACTGCTACTGCTGCAGCTACTGACGCTGCTGCTGCAGCTACTGACGCTACTGCTACTACTGCTGCAGATACTGACGCTGCTGCTACTGCTGCAGCTACTGACGCTGCAGCTACTGCTGCTACTGCTGCAGCTACTGACGCTGCTGCTGCAGCTACTGACGCTGCTGCTACTGCTGCTGCTACTGACGCTGCTGCTACTGACGCTGCTGCTGCTACTACTGCTGCTACTGCTGCAGCTACTGACGCTGCTGCTACTGACGCTGCTGCTGCTACTGCTGCAGCTACTGACGCTGCTGCTACTGTTGCTGGCGCTGCTGCTGCTACTGCTGCAGCTACTGACGCTGCTGCTGCTACTGCTGCAGCTACTGACGCTGCTGCTACTGTTGCTGGCGCTGCTGCTACTGCTGCTGCAGCTACTGACACTGTTGCTGGCGCTGCTACTGCTGCAGCTGAAACTGCCATCCTACTCGCAGCCGGACGATGGCTATGAGTTTAAAACCCAGATGAGAGAGAGGGTTGGGGGGCGTCAACTCAGGCAATCACGACGCCACTGTGGTAAACAAAACAAGAGGCACTTCTTGGGAAGTGATCGCTGCGCACGCTGATGCCCATCACGGGAATGGAGCTGAATATCGGGCAGCAGAGGAGACAGCGGAGACAGCGGAGCCGCGTGCAGAGGTCGCAACCGGGTACCCGATACCCGTACCCTACCCGATAGCCGGCTACCCGTACCCGGGTACGGGTAAGGAATCAAAACCCGTTTGCGACCTCTGGCCGCGTGTCTCTGCGTTACCGTTCTGGGCGCTTCACCTCCTCCGTGACGGCGTTGAGAGACGCCCTGCACAACACAAGGGCAAAGAAGAAAGTGATCCAGTGGACTTGGCTTGTGAGCATCGCTCCAGAAATATCAGCCCCCTACAGATTATCCAACCCCCCACTTCACCCCACGCATCCCAAAGACTATCGGCTTTTAGCGCAATGCATGTCCACAAAACAAACTGCTGAAGTGCGGTGATTGAGTTCAACACGGGTGACATCACTGGAGACGCTAAAAGGTGAATTTGTGGTATTACAGTAAAACCGTCGCTATTCACGAGTTCTGGATTTGCGAATTTCGCATATTGGCGAGTCACTAGATGCATACTAATTCCCTATTCGCGACCCGCGGCAAGATTGGGCACGTCGTCTCGCCAGTACGGGGTCGTCCATAAATGACGTCACGCGATTTTTGACGATTTTTGACCCCCCCCCCCTTAGTCACACGGCGTCAATAAAAGTCAGACCCCCCTCAAATATGACCCCCCCCCAAAAAAAAAAACATGCTCAAATCGCTTTAAACTATTGTCATTGTAGTGCGTATTTAATGTGGCGCTGCACTCTGATGTTGTAGGAGAAAACATTTATTAAAAAGTATATTTAACTAAACAGAACGTGTTGTCTATATTTATTTAAAGTTGCGCATTTTGATGTGACGTCACATTTCTCAACTCCCCCCCCCCCTCGTCACACATCGTCACAAATGTCTCACCCCCCCCCCTAAGTGCGTGACGTCATTTATGGACGACCCCTACTCCCGTGTACTGTGAATAGGTTTACTACCTTACAGCTCCTCTAAACTCGCTAATTGTGCATTTTTACTTAATACGTACTTGCTTATAATAACAGGGGTTTTCCCCTTTTTTCTGGCAACACAACTGAAACCTTTTTTTACGAAGATTCACGTGTGCATTAACCACAATACTTGCAGTCGAGTGCAAACAAAAAACATACTATGATAATATATTGATTGGTCCACACCAAGGGACGGCTTTTCAGTTTTGTTGCCAGAAAAAAGGGGAAAAAGCCTATTATTACATTTTGGTACTGGCAAAGGAGGTCTAAATGACGTACTTGCTTGTTAATTTCCCCTAAACATGGCTCGCAAGCGTCCAATGAGAGAGTAAATTGCGTCTGCACTTTCCTCTCTCATTTTTGTTACAAATGTGACGACGATATCAACTCGTAACGCGGTGTTCGCTCCCAGCTCTCGTAAGGAGAGGACGATGCCCTAGGCTGGGAGGAGTCACAGGCGAGCAGAAAGTCAGCCACGCGTTGATCCAGTGCCAGGAATCGCCCGAGCTCTGCATTCCATTACACATGAAGGTGCTATCGGTGTTGATACGCGTGAGAGAAAACAGTAAACCTGGGAAAACTCGTAACTGGTGGGAGTCCACATTTTTGCTCTAATGCCTTCTCCTGGCGAGCCAGGATATAAACCTCCTCCTCAACCCCCACGGGAAGGGGAGTTCTCGCAACGTTTCGTGCGGTGATCCATCAACCCTCGCTGCTGCTGCCTGCACAGCGCTGGATCACAGACAGCGGCCACGTGCAGCGCAGCGACCAGGCTACGATAACAACGGTAACAGACTCTTTGTTTTTTCGGTAAAGTCACGTAGGTGTGAAAACAAAATGAAAAAAAATAAAACAACTAAATTAAATCATGACGTTTCGGAAGCAACACAAGCATCCGTCATCGGGTGTGACTGCTCCAGCAAAATTACTGTTGCTGGAGCAGTCACGAAAACTTCAAATCTAGAGCGCTAACAGAGCTCATCTCTCGTTGAAGCGACGGATCCAGCCTTGGTCCCCCTCGAGTCTTCTTAAGAAAGCGGTGAAGTCACGAAGTCAGGGTTTACTCTGAACCGTCAGCACGCCACCAGGGTGATGGTAACAGCGCCGCATACTGCGGCCTCGACTCGCGCACTGCGTCGTGCCGAGCCGAGCGTCGTGAGCCGGTGCGAGGCTCACGCACCACCCCGAGTAGGCGAACATCCCCGAGTAAAACGCCAGCGGCAGACTCCCCGGGCGGCTGTCTGCGGTGTCGAAGGCGTTCTCGAAATATTCTGTCCGCCCTGCGGGGAAGTCGGAAGGCTCTCACGTCGCACGCATTAGACACAGCAACGGGAAATGCAAAGCGTCACACAATCAGACGTTTCAATCGATGCTCTGCCCCAGTGCTGCGTCGGTATCGTCTCCCAGTGGTGGTGGTGCTGCACACCGCCATTCATTGGTGCTGCCGCTCCACGGATGTCTCCGTCTCTGCCGCGCACTCAATGCGGTCGTGGACATCCACGAATCTGTCACCCTGCGCCCCACAACTTCTTCGTTTTCACACTGTTTACCCACAGACCATGAACACATTACTAAGCGCGTCTGAAGCACATTAGCTCCGATAGAGCGTGATGGAGTTAGACTTCACGGCTGTAAAGTGCTCGCAGTATTCGCAGTGTGGTGGCGGCCTCAATGGCTTTCCTACGCCGTGCGTAAACACTCATTCGTGGCGTTGGCTAAACAAACCAATATAGGACCACAGAACTTGGGCAATTGTTGACGCCGAAATTTTTCGATTTAAAGCTTTCGTGACTGCAGTGATTCATCTTCTTGGTTCTTTCGGTAAAGTCACGTAGAAGGAAAATAATAAAATAATAAAATAAAATTTTCACGACATTTTGGCTACAACGCAAGCAGCCGTCCTCGGGTGAAGAACAGGTCTGCGGGAAAGACAGCGTCTGAATGAACACCACCAAGCTTGGCAGCGTATATTTAAGCTGTGTTAGAGGGGGAAGGGCGCTTTCACAAAGGAATTTGCATATCAACAGATGAATTAAGCATAAATATGCATACATATGCTAAATCTGTTGATATGCAAATCCATTTGTCAAGGCGCCCTTCGTCCTCTAACACAGCTTAAATATACGCTGCCAAGCTTGGTGGTGTTCATTCAGACGCTGTCTTTCCGACAGACCTGTTCTTCACCTGTTGACGCCGGTTTTGGCTGCCTTTCCTATCGCCTGTGTGTGGCTTTTGGCGTCTCTACAACAGACACCGTGCACGTTAGAAATTCTGCAGCATCAATCTAGATCTTAAGTTTTCGTGACTGCAGGGATTCATACGTAGGTATAAAATAAAAAATAAAAATAAAAACAGAATCAAAATAAATCAAATCACGACGTGCTTCCGAAACGGCGTGATTTGATTTATTTTGATTCTGTTTTTTATTTAAATTTATTTATTTTTATTTTATACCAACGTGACTTTACCGAAAAAACTAAAGAGTATTCTGCAACATCGTTTTGAAATTAAATTTGCACGAACGACGCCGCTCTTATAAACGCACATTTTCATTGTTATTCTTAAGCAGCCGACAGAGGGGATATTCGAAGAGGGGAACATTTTCCACCTGCTCCATAACGCACGTGGACTGTTGCTATTGTTGCTGCCTGGAGAAGGAATAGCCCCACGGAGAGGCACGGGGCAGCATTGCCTCCTTGGCAAGGGCGACCGCTGTCGAGGTCTGCTGACCACGAAAAGAGAGGGCCTCGGGAGAGAGAGTTCGTGTCGTGTTGCTGTTCCTCTTCCGTTGAAGGGACTCACACTAGACTGGGTTTGCTGTTCGGTCGGTCCATAGTTTGGGTTGCATGGCCACGGCCGCTCGGCTGTGGCTTGTCTGTATCTCTGTGGGTCTCTACGTATCTCTGAGTCTCTGCGTGTCTCTATGTATCTCTGAGTCTCTGCGTGTCTCTATGTATCTCTGAGTCTCTGTGGGTCTCTATGTATCTCTGAGTCTCTGCGTGTCTCTACGTATTTCTGAGTCTCTGCATGTCTTTATGGATCTCTGAGTCTCTGTGGGTCTCTATGTATCTTTGAATCTCTGCGTGTCTCTATGTATCTCTGAGTCTCTGCGTGTCTTTATGGATCTCTGAGTCTCTGCGTGTCTCTATGTATCTCTGAGTCTCTGCGTGTCTCTATGTATCTCTGAGTCTCTGCGTGTCTCTATGTATCTCTGAGTCTCTGTGGGTCTCTATGTATCTCTGAGTCTCTGCGTGTCTCTATGTATCTCTGAGTCTCTGCGTGTCTCTATGTATCTCTGAGTCTCTGCGTGTCTCTATGTATCTCTGAGTCTCTGCGTGTCTCTATGTATCTCTGAGTCTCTGCGTGTCTCTATGTATCTCTGAGTCTCTGCGTGTCTTTATGGATCTCTGAGTCTCTGTGGGTCTCTATGTATCTCTGAGTCTCTGTGGGTCTCTATGTATCTCTGAGTCTCTGCGTGTCTCTATGTATCTCTGAGTCTCTGCGTGTCTCTATGTATCTCTGAGTCTCTGCGTGTCTCTATGTATCTCTGAGTCTCTGCGTGTCTCTATGTATCTCTGAGTCTCTGCGTGTCTCTATGTATCTCTGAGTCTCTGCGTGTCTCTATGTATCTCTGAGTCTCTGCGTGTCTCTATGTATCTCTGAGTATCTGCGTGTCTCTATGTATCTCTGAGTCTCTGCGTGTCTCTATGTATCTCTGAGTCTCTGCGTGTCTCTATGTATATCTGAGTCTCTGCGTGTCTCTATGTATCTCTGAGTCTCTGCGTGTCTCTATGTATCTCTGAGTCTCTGTGGGTCTCTATGTATCTCTGAGTCTCTGCGTGTCTTTATTGATCTCTGAGTCTCTGTGGGTCTCTATGTATCTCTGAGTCTCTGCGTGTCTTTATGGATCTCTGAGTCTCTGTGGGTCTCTATGTATCTCTGAGTCTCTGCGTGTCTCTATGGATCTCTGAGTCTCTATGGGTCTCTATGTATCTCTGAGTCTCTGTGGGTCTCTATGAATCTCTGAGTCTCTGCGTGTCTCTATGTATCTCTGAGTCTCTGCGTGTCTCTATGTATATCTGAGTCTCTGCGTGTCTCTATGGATCTCTGAGTCTCTATGGGTCTCTATGTATCTCTGAGTCTCTGTGGGTCTCTATGTATCTCTGAGTCTCTGCGTGTCTCTATGTATCTCTGAGTCTCTGCGTGTCTCTATGTATATCTGAGTCTCTGCGTGTCTCTATGTATCTCTATGGATTAACTGTGTGGTTCCGTAGTTTGGGCTGCATGGCCAGTTGCACAACTGTGACTTGCGTCTTTCGTTTTCTATACGTGAAGGAGACGTGTGCATCGTGCCTGGCAATGTTTCGATGCGATTGATAGCTCACTGTGGGACAAAAAAACATTTTTTTTGTTTCTGGCTAGTAAGTGGTATTTCGTAATTGCTTATGCCTCAAAAGTACAGAAAATGGCTGTTATTCCCAACAAACTTTGCTTTTGTGATCAGGACATTGATATTTTGAAATGTACATATTTTCAATGAGAAAACGGGCGAATTTGTGTCATTCCTTCACATAAAGTCCTGGTCACAAAAGCAAGGTTTGTGGGGAATCATGGCCATTTTCTATACTTTTGAGGCATAAGCAATTAGAAAATAACACTTACTACCCAGGAACAAAAATCGTGTTACATCGTGTTATAAGTTGCACGAACAGCGCCTTCGAGGAGCAATGCCAAAGCCAGGGGGAGGTGCAATAATGTTGGGGTCTTGAACGAGATGTTCATTCCTGGGCGTCCTCCTGCTCCCGCTCCGTTCGCCCAGCAGCAGAAGCAGCAGCAGCGTTCCTGACGGACCCCGGGGGGGTGAGGGTGAGGTTCTAGGGGGCGAACGTGCGACGGTGGACTTCACCCGGAGAGGAGGCGAGGACTCACCGCGCGCCACGTGAGCGACTCCCACGCCGATGATGCTGGCCAGGGCGGCCAGCTTGCTGACCGAAAGGCACGACTGGACGCGCAGCGACAGCGTTGAGCTCCACGTGTTGACAAACACCACGAACGCTGCCGGTGCACGGGGAGGGCGCGCACGTGCCGCATGGCACGCGATTTAAAGAGCCGCGGCGGTCTAGAGCATTTAATACACGCGAACAGTAATCACGCTCTGCGCGTGGCTTAAACGGTACGTGGTGGTAGGAAATCCGTGACTTTTGTGTGTGTCGACTCGACAAAGATTACGACCCCGCTGCCGAGTTTAGCGGTTCAACGTAAATCCGGCCTGCGCGCCTTGATGTGTGCAGAGTCTGCTTTGTGTGAACGGGGCACGGAACCCACAAATCACGCAGCAGAAGCAGCAACCCTTGCCATCTGTAGACACGTTGTGGCCACTTGGGGCTTTGTTCAGAAACTATTTTTTTATATAAATATCCAGATCCATCGGGGAGCTGCCGTGGTGTGACACAACACCTGTCAATCCCTTATTATTATTATTACAGACCAATTAAGACCTTATTGGTCACCCCGTGCCCTTATAAATCTCAACGTGCATCCTTACAAAGTCCCATCACAAGGGAGAAACACAAACAAAGAGACAAAATAAATGCTGCCCGTATTGAAACGGCTGTTCGCCGTATGGACCTGAAAACTCAATTTCCCCCGTACAAGAATACGGGGTGAACCGTGTGGGTCGACAACTGTTGTGTAACAGCACGGAGAGCGTGCGTCGGTGTTCGGGAGCTGGTTCTGCTCGTGTGCTGCCCGCTAGAATAATGGGGGGGTGGGGGGGGGAGGTTCGTGCAAACTGCAGATCGTAGAATTCGTAGCGGGCGCGGCAACCACGGCCAGAAAACCGTCAGTCAACGATTGCCCAAACTCGGTGGCCCCTAACGTTGGCGTGTTCCTACCACACCCCAAGGACTCACAGATGGAGACCATCGCGAGGAGCTTGACGGCGACTCGGGGCACGGCGCAAGGCGAGTACAGCGCCTCCAGCGAGTACTGCCCCATCGACAGGAACACCACGGCCATGATCGACGGCCTGCGGGAGACGGGCGAGGGTCACGTTTCTGCGCACGTTACCGACGCGCGGCAGCGAGAACACAACGATGTCTGGCCCTGTGTGTAGTAACGTCAGGTGGGTAGCACCAAGGGTGAAATATGAGCAAGAATGCGTTACGTGTGCGCTTGTTTTTTCTTCTAATGCGTTCTGTTTTCGTGATTTGCCCAGCGAGAGGAGTAGAGGCGTGGGGTGCACGCGCCGCTGGCCCCCTGCAGCCCCCCATCTCCTGTGCCCCCGCCCCGCGGCCCCCTCCTGCTCGGCGACAAACTCCGTGGCTTCAAGATCGACCGTGGTTCCTATGTGGACGAAACCCCAGCTCTACGCTTCCATTGACTCCACAGGCTCGCCCTCATGCCCCCCACCCCACCCCACCCACCCCTTGCCTTCACGAAGTTCTCGGGTTTCGATTGGACCGCGGTGGAGGGAACCTCTGAGCTAAAAAAAATCGACTAAGAAGACGAAAGATTGCACGCAACCCGTTGGGCAGGTGCGGTAGAATTGCAGCACCTGACGATGATGAACTCAACCCACAGGAAGAGGAAGGCGGGGAGCGTCCCGAGGGTTTCTCTCAAGTAGATGTAGTGGCTCCCGGACTGGCGGATCGTCGTGCCCAGCTCCGCGTACGAAAGGGCACCTGCGAAACATCGCGGACGGCTCGCTCGTGATCGGCGCGCCAGAGATCGCGCGCCGCTCGCGAAACCTCAGTGAGCCTTTGATGAAAAGTGGGGGGCAGGGCTGTCGTCCATAGCGGGGTGCGGGGTCCGGGGCAAATCCCACCATGTGCCCCCCCTATCTTCAAACTAAACCGGAAGAATTACAACCGAAATCGTGACATCAAAGCACGGGGCCCCCCAAAGCACGGGGCCCGGGGTGGTCGCCACAATTCGCCATGTACCCGAGGGACGGCTCTGGTGGGAGGAATAATTTTCACTTTTACACCATCAATGTAATTGATGGTGTTAAAGTCTATAACGAGAATGGCAATAAAATGCGCTTTATTTACCCAGGCAAAGTTTCGCTAAATTTCAAGACCTGTTTCAGGAGGGCCCTGCATCATTCAATGAGTGTTTGGCAGAGGTGGGACAAAGTCATTGTTATGCAAGTCCAAGTCGAGTCTGAAGTCATCAAATTCATGACTCGAGTCTGACTCGAGTCCAAGTCACATGACTCGAGTCCACACCTCAGAGGTGGGACAAAGTCATTGTTATGCAAGTCCAAGTCGAGTCTGAAGTCATCAAATTCATGACTCGAGTCTGACTCGAGTCCAAGTCACATGACTCGAGTCCACACCTCAGAGGTGGGACAAAGTCATTGTTATGCAAGTCCAAGTCGAGTCTGAAGTCATCAAATTCATGACTCGAGTCTGACTCGAGTCCAAGTCACATGACTCGAGTCCACACCTCTGGTGTTTGGCATCACGTGGCAGGGATCCGAGCCGGAGAAACCCACCACAAGCGCACGCGCGGGGGACTTACCGTCACTGCGGAACAAGTTTGTAACTGCAGCTAAGCCCGAGCAGTCTGCAAATACTTACCAGGCTCAAACCGGGCTTAGCTTCTGAGATCTAAGATCGGCCACATTCCATGTGGTTTGGTTTAAAATAAAACAAGGCAACATCTCCGACTGAACAACTTGGGTCTGGATATTGACACATTGTATAGAATGCACATATTTACTCCTGTAAACAGCATTGGTTTGGGCGGGACATGTGGCAGCGCTCACATAGGGTACAGGAGTATAATATTGATTCTAGATTTGAAGCTTTCGTGACTGCAAGGATTCATATTCTTAGGTTTTTTCGGTAAAGTCACGTAGGTAAAACATCAAAATTAATAAAAATAAAATAAAATAAAGATCACGACGTTTCGGAGGTTTGACTCAGGCAATCTGAGAATCGGAATCTGTGTAGCAGGAATTGATTTGTGTAGAGACCTCGCACGAGTGTTGAACTTGATCACAATCCACGGCACAGTCGTGCTGAGAGATCCGAGGCTCACTGAAACAATCTGCCACGGTTAGGTCTGCAGTGTAGAAGCGGGCCACCTTTAGCCCACGCCGTACAGACAACGCCTTTAGTCACTTACGGCAGCGTGTTGTGACCCGTCCAACAAAGGCTACTGGGTCGCCCGACGGTCTACGTTGGTCAGAGCCATCCTCGACCTCCACACGGTCTCAACGCTGCCAAGTGAGCGCATCGGTGATTCTACGTAATTATGTTGAGCTCTGTTGAGTATCGTTCTGTTGCTTAGAGAGGTGGCGTTGCCGCTGAATGTTGGGAGGGTTGTCACCTGTCCGGTGTAGTACATATGGTTTTTGTTGACTTGTTTAACAAAAAAAATCCTCTCCCAGGTGCCAAACAAACCCTCAAAAACACGTTAGACACCGTGCACAGAGCTCTGTGGATTGTGAGAATGTGAGTCATGGGACAGGAGTTGGTCCGGGTATGTACAGTATGAAAACAAGAATTGGTTTTACCCTATCTGGCAATAAAACAGGTGTTAAGATGTTCAAACACCAAATATATACCTTTTGCAAGGATTTGTGGGTCAGGGCTAATGTTCGGTACGGTTTAACGCGAAGGCTTTCGCGACCAATATCTATGATACAGGTTTTTTTTGCGTTAGATCGCGTAAATATATAAATGTGTCGTTAAACCCGCCACCACCCGACACAGCCAATTAGTAAGGGTTGTCACGTAAACAGAACGTGGCCAATTCGTTACTAGTGTAGTGGGTCCCACGGAGGCAGACACTTGTAACCTGGAGGCAACACGTGTATTATACACCCCAACAGGGTATCTACATTAACTACATATACACTCGGGATAACTAATTATGTGGTAACTACCACGGAGCTCGACCTCAACAAGGCCACTATATAAACGGGTCAGGTCAGTAAAGTACTGCCTGACCCACGACATCGAGTGTGACGACCGAAGCCTGAAGAACGTAGCACGGCGCGTTGATTCCCAAAGACAGCCCAGAACGCTCCCGGGACCTCCCCTTTATCCTCCTGGGCGTGGCCTCGCTCCGCCCTCGGCCACTCCCCCTTCGGGATCTTCCCAGAAGGTTCTGGAAAAGTCACGTAGAAGGGAAGTAATAAAATAATACAAATACAACATAATAAAATAATTCTCACGACGTTTCGGCCACAACGCAAGCAGCCGTCTTCAGGTGGAGAACAGGTCTGTCAAGTAGACAGAGTGTGGATGTGACTGTCTACTTGACAGACCTGTTCTCCACCTGAAGATGGCTGCTTGCATTGTGGCCGAAACGTCGTGAGAATTATTTTATTATGTTTTATTTTATTATTTTTTCCCTTACTTCCCTTCTACGTGACTTTACCGAAAGAACCAAGAAGATGAATCCCTGCAGTCACGAAAGCTTTAAATCGAAATTTAAGGTTCTGGAACTTTACATAACATATCCCCTCTGTCCCCTTCTGGCCCCCGTCCTTATCCTCTGCTGGTCACGTGCCCTCTTGGGTTCACCCAGACTGTCCCGTGCGCCATACGCACTCTGGTGACAGAGAGAGGCTCTAAGACGCACAGTTACACCAGTATATCTCCGCGCTAACGCCATAGTGACTCAATATACGTCACTACACTAGTACAGCACACTGGTGTGTTGGAGAGCCAAGCCACAACATTTACAATCTGAGTACGACGTTTCGCCAGTAATTACAACTAGCTGCATCAGGCGACAGCCACACATCTGTATTATCGTATTATCCACTCTTGTCTCTCTACCGGCCTCATGGGAGGACATCTTCACAATTATGGCTATCGCCTGATGAAGCTGGTCATAATCACCAGCGAAACGTCAGACTCGAATTGTAAATGGGGCTTTGCTCTCCAACACACCGGTGTGCTGTACTAGTACGTTCTGTTTAGGGGCCGTCCATAAACGACGTCACGCGATTTTTGACGATTTTTGACCCCCTCGTCACACGGCATCACAAAAAGTCAGACCCCCACTCAAATATGACGTCACAAAGCTCTGCCCCCCCAAAATAAAACATGCTTCAAATCGCTTTAAACTATTGTCAGTGTAGAACGTGTTGTCTATATTTATTTAAAGTTGCGCATTTTGATATGACGTCACATTTCTCACCCCCCCCCCTCGTCACAAATGTCTGACCCCCCCCCCCCCCTTAGGTGCGTGACGTCATTTATGTACGGCCCCTTACGTGACAACCCTTACTAATTGGCTGTGTGAGGTGGCGGCGGGTTTAACGACACATTGATATTTACACGAACCAACCCAATAAACCTGTACCATGGGGGGCCGGCCGGCCGGGGGGGGGGGGGGGCTATGTACGATTCTAGATTTGAAGCTTTCATATTCTTAGGTTTTTTCGGTAAAGTCACGTAGGTAAAATATTAAAATTGGAAAGATGTGATTAACCATGCAACAAAGATTTAACTACACTTATTTGGCCAATCTTATTTGACAGACAACTATTACAGGTTTACCATGTTCAGTTGTTTTCTCCTTGTCACAGGTTGAGTCACAAACCGTACCTCTCCATAACAAAGGCTCACCCTCTTAAGATTCCAAAGAACACAGGATGAGATGTTACTATCCTTTGTGCAAGCACTTCCAAGAGTTCATGAACAGTGAGCCTGGTGAAATTTGGGGAGCGCATCGTCAGTAGTGACCATTTGGTTCCTAGGGTGTTTCGGCCTTTCATACTATACACCCTCCCCAAAGGCGGCCAGCGACAGGGTGATCAATCCTACGCTTGCGTCCCATTCCCAATTAGTCATAGGAGTTGCCTTGTTGTTGGTAGCCAACATCCCATGGGACTATGCATGGCAGGGGCGTCCTCCTCCCTGAGTCAAGCATTGTTGACTGCATACCTCCTGGCCCTCTCACTTTGGGGCCCAGCTGGGGTCTTTCCTCTTCATCCAGAGCCACTGACTGCTGCCTTCTGCCGCCTCCGATACAGCTTTGATTGCCGAACGCTGGCTCTGGCCCTTAATTCCCAGGTCTCTAAGCAGTCTGGTTAAGTACAGTGTGCTGTACTTGCCCCTTCCCCCCTCTCCAACCATTATATAAACGGAGTGGTAGCTCCTGCAATCTCTCAATTAATTGATACAGCTGTCGTGGCTGTGGCGGTTCCACCTGAAGACGGAAGCTTGTGTTGTCTCCGAAACGTCGTGATTTTTATTTTATTTTTATTTTATTTTACTTTTATTAATTTTAATGTTTTACCTACGTGACTTTACCGAAAAAACCTAAGGCTATGTACGGTGTTTGTTGACTGACCAAGCAGGGAGAGGAAGCCGCAGGCCAGCCACACGAGCAGCGCCCACCCGACGGAGCCCGCGTGGCGCAGCACGCCGGACGGGGAGATGAAGATGCCGCTGCCGATGATCATCCCGACTTGCATGAAGATGCCGTAGAGGAAGCCAATGGTGCGGTCGAGCCTCACCGGCGAGGCCTCCTCCGCGTGTCGCTGTGGCTTCATCGCCGCTCTCGTCCGGCGCGACGCGCGCGTGCCGAGTTACGCGCGCGACGTGCTGCTGATGCTGCTGCTGATGATGCTGATGATGATGCTGCTGCTGATGCTGCTGCTGATTATGCTGCTGATGATGCTGCTGCTGATGATGATGCTGGTGCCGCTGATGATGCTGGTGCCGCTGATGATGCTGCTGATGCTGCTGCTGATGATGCTGCTGCTGCGTTGGCAGTGGTGCACAAGCACGTGACAATAAAAGCTCTGGGCACATTCTTCATCAACACTGTGGGCTTAAAAGGATAAAACAAATATATATACAAGTCACTTTTTGGGCAATGGCCCTTAAATAGCGCGTAGCTAACCTGGTCAAAACCGATGCATTGAGCATAGAGAGTGAGCGTATTTATTGTGCGACCTACATTAACGTTGAGCGCAAACAGATGAACAAGGAAAAGCGTCGCGTTTTCAGATGGTACAGACGAGGCATTGAGCCCGTGGTGGCAGAGGCGTAGCTGGGGGGGGGGGGGGGGCAGGGGGGTACATATGTCCCCGGGCGCCAAGGTAAAGGGGCGCCAAAATGAGGCTTACAGCGTTACATTATAACTTATTGCGGCGGGCGCGGCAGCGCGAAACTACTGCACAAATCTACACCTCAACCTAAAAGTTGATATATCCCGCCACACACAGCCTACATGTCATGTAATTACATTTTGGTATGTGATTAAACGGGGGGGGGGGGCGCCAATTTTATAGTTCGTCCCCGGGCGCAAAATATCCTAGCTTCGCCACTGCGTGTGGGTACCTTCGATTAGCGCGGGTGGCGACGTACGGTGCGAAAGAAGGTCAACATACATACATGCAAGTACACGTGGCAGCGCAGTAACGAGGTGCTGGAGTCTTAGTCCAAGCGGTACGTTCAGAGCCGAATCAGCAAAGAGACCGGTACTGCCGTCGTGTGAGAGAGAAAAAAACTACGACTTTCGGAGAGCTCTCGGCGTTATTCCACGAGGCGGATTATATATTGCGTGTTTGCGTAGCGTATTTATAAACGCAGAAGCGATGTGTTGTTAAAGATTAAATTGTCCCATACAGAAGGCCGGCCGATTTACCACGAAATCCCCCCCTCTCCCTCCACTGACTCGACAGGGTCGTCATGCTCTGATACCCCGAACACAAATGCTGTCGCCTTCACAGTACCATGGTGTTTTATTAGCCATTCGCCGCTACCATCCCGCATTCCGACTTCTCCACCCATAACTAATGTTTGTGTGAGCGTGACAATCTCCGTGTTTCTAAAGTATAAATTTATATGCCCAGAGGCCAGGGCCCACCAAAAGATTTGCCGCAGCTTTTCCAATGAAAGAACAAATTTGTACCGAAAGTGTGCAGGCATCAACCATTCTTTATAACTCACATGGCACGTTTTGATAAAAAAAAAATTAGGCGACAATGTGTGTTATCGTGTTACCCGTGTACAAGAGATGTCTCGCGTGATTTTGTCTAAATTAAAGTTGGGAGCCTTCCTCTGCCCCGAGGCTGTTCGAATGTGTGCGTTGTAGAAAATATTGCGCACAAGACGAAGTGCGCCGTCGACAGCAACTCATGGAAGACACGTGCCCAGCATCACCTCGGCCTGGAGACACACAGAGAGTCTGTTTCAAGGATCCAAACATTTTGAAAACTCAGCGGCGATAACAGGAATCCTTTATATGCGTGGCGGCTAGAGTCCTCTCGTCCTCTAGCTTGAGATGGCTGCCACCTATGGGTCAGATGATTGCCTGCCACCATTAAGCAATTGGTAATTACATATTTTAAAAAAATTCCTAAAAAGTGTAAAGTTATGGAAAAAAAATTTCACGAAAATAAATTGTCACGCACAACGAGTCTGTGTGCAAAATGTCAGCTCGATTGGATCACGGGAAGTGGGTTAAGAAACGACCGAAATATTTGCACGGTCGTAAGCACGCAAGCAAGCAAGTGAACTTAATATAAAGGATTTAAAAAGCGGGCATGGTGGAAACGGCACGCTGCAGACCGACTTACTGATCCAGTTGCACCCACCACTCTTTCTGGACACGCGCGTGCCCGAGCTGCGGCACAATCTGTCAATCCCAGATCGGTCTCTTCAGCCATCTTCGGACTCACAGATAAGCCGACGTTTCCATGGAAGAAAATCATCCTCGATTGCGACGGATAGCCTATGATGATGATGTAGAAAAGTGAAAGTAGCTTATTCCGTGGCGACGCTAAGAATGTGACCAGTCAGATGAGAGCATCTGGTTGAAAGATGTCCGGTATTTGTAATCAGGGACATCTCTATCGATCGACCACCAAGCGAGAACCGACTAAGGCAGTTGTCTGTTTTGCTTTAAAAAAAACTGCTTCACGTTTATGCAAGTGTCCGTTTTTGAGGTTAAGGTTATTACAATATTCCACTTCAAATTAACCACGACGTTTTTGTAGCGGGTTTATTTGTTATAAAGTTCGCATACTTTCACTTCTAACAAATATTATATTTTCCCTTCTTGGCTAATTTCGAATTTTATCACAAGATACCAATTACTGGTGATTATACGTCGCAAATATATGTGTAGAGGTGATACGCGCTGGGATTAGGGATCGTATGCCAGCGCGTAATGATTGGCTGTGTATGTGGTGACGCGCGCTGACGGTGGAGGATCAGGGGTCAGCGCGGGGTCGTGGGTTACGGGGTAATGATTGGCTGTGGGCCGGTGACGCGCTGAGAGGGAGTGACCGGGTGGCAGCGCGGTGTGATTGGCGGAGTAGTGTTAACACGCGCTGGGGAAAACGGATCGTAGAGAGAGTGCGTCGTGATTGGTTCACTAAGGAGCGATGCTCACGTCGACGTCCGCATCAGCTCCGTCTCTCGTGAGCAGGGGCTATAAAAGGGGATGCACACAGGCGTAAGGGCAGTATGTAACCAGCGAAGAATGAAAACGGGGATGAAGACATAGGGCCCTGCGGTACCTAGTCCCGCTGTCCTAACGGGACCGGGACTCTGTGTAACCCAGAGGCGAATGTAGTGTGTGTGGCCATAGGCATAGAGTCTACACGAGCCGAATGTATTGTGTGTAGCCAGAGGCATAGGGTCTACACGAGTCAAATGTATTGTGTGTAGCCAGAGGCATAGGGTCTACACGAGTCAAGTGTATTGTGTGTAGCCAGAAGCATATAGTCTACACGCGTTAAGTGGAGTGTATAGTCCAAAGGATAGAGACCACCCGTTGTATTGTGACACGTCAAGATTTAATAAAAGTGTGTTACCCGTCAAGAAGTTCCTGCCGTCAATTCCAATACTTCAACTGGCGTCAGAAGTGAAACGGTCTTCCAAGCATGGATACAAGGAAGACCCGTCGGACCCACGGGATTGACCGCGGGGACAACCTCGACGACTCGGGCCAGCTGGCATTGGGGGGTGAGGACGAGGAATTGCCCACGCTGCAGGATCCGCCGACGGCGCCGGACGAGCGACGGGGGACCGACGCCGTGCTCCGCGAGGCGCACTCCCGCCTGGCGGAGCTGCTGCTCGCCGCCGCGTCCATCCTGGCGGAGATCAGCTCGTCGGGAGGAGCGGGGACGGCGGCGGACGTTCTACAGGGTCGCCCCGCAGATTCCCGCCAAAATGACTTGGCGATTCCCGCCATTTCATCTGCGCCGACTTTTGGCGGGAACGGCCATCACCACGTGGCAGCGGTTCTCCAAGCGCGCCCGCTTACGTCACCAACGCGTGCTGCGGACCGCCATCAAACACCCGCCACTGGGGCCGCCATCTTACACACCAACGGGGCGGCGGAGAGGAAGCACGAGGAGGAGGACGACTTCATCTTTCAACAGCGCCTTCCCACGTTGTCAGCCTTCAAGGCGGAAGGCGGGGACTGGGGCCAATTTCAGCGCAGGTTTTTGGCGCATTAGGAGATGTCCGCCTGGTCCGACGCTACGGCACTGCGGGCACTGCCTGCCATGCTGGACGACAACGCGCTCGCGGCCTTCACGTCCGCACGCAGGTCGGACCGCTCCACGCTCAAGGATGCGCTGGCTCTCATGGCCAAGGTCTATGGTCCTCCCTCGGTGTGTCGCCATCATTTTTATGCAAGACGGAAGGCGGACACGGAGACCGTGCTCGCCTATCGCACGGCGTTGCTGGCTCTCGCCGACGCCGCGTTCCCTCGTATGGACGAGGAGGGCCAAGATGCGATGGTTTTGGAGCAACTGCTCAAGTTGGCGCAGGACCTGGGGGTCCCCATCAACACGGCCGACGAGACCGATATTTCTTCCTTACGGGTCGCTACGAGCATACAAGCGCACGAGGTCCTTCAACGTAAACAAGGGGTCGTCTGCAACGCTGCCGTGGCCTCAGCTCCGGGCCCGGTAGTCACCGTGCCCCAAGTCGTCAGCCCACGAGAGGAGGCGTTCATCGCGGGACGACCGGGGGACTGGAGGTCGAGGGGTCGTTCGCCTCTGCGATCGGCCCGCAAGCTGGAGCAACCGAGATCTCCGACGACTGTCATCACGTGTTATAACTGCGGCCTCCGGGGCCATGTGGCCTCCGGTTGCCGCGCCCCACGTCAGCGCGCCATGGGACCTCGGCTGGACGACGAACAAGGCCCAAAGTCATCCCTGCAAACCCCGGCAAGTCGCGGCACCTCACATGCCCGGCCCGCATACTCGACACGCATGGGCCGTCGCGTTGCGGCGGAGGAGAGCCGAGTAGGGTTCGGGGATTCGGCTCGGCGAGGGGGGTTCGGCCGGGACCGGGGAGACATTAAATGGTCGGAGTTGGGGCACAGAATAGTGGCTGCCTCAGCGGGTTCATCCGTCGTTACGGGATCTATTGATGGGGTCGAGGTCAGGGTGTTAGTGGACACGGGGGCATCGGCGACTATTATATCGGACCTCATTTATAACATTCTCCCTGTACAATGTCGTCCGCTTCTTCCGGTGGATGTGCCATTTTACGCCGCTAACGGGGGATCGTTGGGCATTATCGG